TGGTCATAAATCCCAGTTTAGGGATCCAGCAGGTTCCTACTCTGGAACAAGCTGCTGCCAGCTTGTTAAACCTGTGATGGTGTCTTTGCTCAGCAAGCCTATTTTTGCCTTGTTTCTCTAGCATACAAGAATAATCATAGGTTTCTCTCAGTCTAGGTAAGCCACTACACCACTTTTTGATTATTCTGGATGGTAAGCAATTAATTAATTACTTTAACAGATTCATATGCCACTCCTCTTCAAAGCTTCAAGGGCAACTAATAATAAAATATAACAACAGCAAACTTGGTTCTCTTTGTGGGTCTTTAGGCGGCAGCATCATCAGTACATGAGATAAAAATAGCTGCAGACTCAGGAACATCCCAAGGTTTTCAGAAGTACCAAAAACACCTTCCTGAGCAGGAGTGGGGAACTGTGGTCCTCAAGATGTTGCCAGATTCTAAACAGCCAATACCATTTTTCCAGGGAACTATGGGAATTGTAGCTCTCTGAGGGAAAAAGGTCTCCTAACAGCTCTCCGCATCCTTAACAAACTACAGTTCCTAGGATTCTTTGAGGGAAACCAGTACTGTTTAAAGTGGTATGATACTGCTTTAAATGTTGTAGTGCAGGTGGGGCACCAGGGAAGTCCAACCCCCCCCCCAATATTGACAAGACATGTTGCCAGGCTGGCAGCCTTGAATTAATGGAAGTTTCTAAGCCCTCTTCAAGGTATCTGCCTTTGTTTATCTCTTCCCCAGCATTCCCACACATCATGGCTGAGCATCACAGAAAAGTTGTACTCTGCAGAGCGCAGTGCCTGTGCAATTGCAATGCAATTGCTAGGAATGCTGGAGTTGCTAGTTCTCCAAGTTGCAGATTGGCAGGCACAAATTCAACAGGTGCATCTCCAGGATGGCAAAAGGGGCACCCCTAGGAATTATTTGTGTCATACAGCTATTCACCACGTGAATTTGATACATTAAACCATGAATCAGCCCCAGGCTACATGATTACATGCCTTAAAACCTACAGCCATAGAATCACAATATTGTAGGGTTGGAAGGGACCCCACGAGTCATCTAGTCCAAACCCCTACCATATAGGGCAGGTGAGAAAATTTCAAAATAATCATCATTCCATTCATGTTTACTATTGAAATCTTCTTAATTTCATTAATATCAGTCATGCTATTATTTTGTCTGCATACCTGCACCTTCAATTGACATTCCCAGGGTGGCTTACTTTTTTAAACAACAGCAACAACAACAACTAAACCAAAAACCATAATATCAACAATAAAACTGCTTCAGCCTATTTAGTCCCATTGATGTCAATAGCACAACTGCTTGTAAGTTACTGCCTTGGAAAAAATGGGCCAAAAGTAAAAGCTTCAGGCCATTAAAACTCATGGCTGTTCCCTGCCTTGGGGGGCACTACCTGTTAAAACATGCAATTTCACTGTGGCAGAAATCTGGGCAGTTCCCTAAATAAATTAAAGAAAGATCAGGCATGCCAGCAGCCTGCAGAAGAGAAGTTAACGATGGCAACTTCTCATTACCATTCCTAGTCAGCTAATTAACTGCAAGTTAATGCAAGCACCTAAAGCCTTCTGGGGAGAAAGGGGTAATGGTAACGATCATGCCGGATCATGCTCTAGGGATGAGAGAGTACAACTGCCATGGTGAATGAATTAAAGAACTTCATCCTGTCATGTGTGGCATGAGACATAGCAGTCCTCTGTTGACAGGATGCTTGATTTCCCAACCTGGTGCCCTCCAGATCAGGGGCAGTCAGTGTGGTGCCCTGAAACACCCACCATCCCTGACCATTGGTCATGCTGGCTGGAGCTGATGGAAGTTGGAGGCCAACATCTGGAAGGGACCAAATTGACTCTGCTCCAGATGTTGCTGGATTCCAACTTCCACTAGCCTCAGCCACCATGACCAATGATCAGGGAAGATGGGAGTTGTATTCCAACATCTAGAGAACATTAGGGTTCCTTCTGGATGAAGGCAGTTCACTGAGCAGTCATCCCGATTTGTTCCCACCCAGTTTGCAACGGTGCTGGATGATGTTGCATCACTCAAACCATTATTCCTTTCTGTTGCATTGCATTTCCCCTCTGTGCTCCTACTTATAGGAAAAAGATGGATCTTTTGGTGAAGTGGGTTTGTTGCTCAAGAGCTTTGAATCAGTTTTAATTTTGCAATCTCAATTTGCTGGCATGTGATTGAATCCCACCTGAAAACAGTGACTGTCTGGGAGCACCACAGGTTGGGGAAAGGCTGCTATAGACAAGCCCTGTCTTCTTCTTCTACTACTGCTGCTGCTGCTGCTTAGCACTAAAATATTGCTATCTGAAGCATTTAACACACATTGTCTCAATAATCCTTAAGACAGCGCTGTAAGATGGGGCATTGTGATTATCCCCACACTGCAAGGGGAGAGGGGGCTGAGGCATCAGTGGCTTGCGGAAGGCTATTAATGCTGCAGTCCTGCACCCAGGGAGTAAGTCTCCATGAGCTCAGTGGAGCTTACTCCTCAGTAGATATGCTGCAGTGCTGCTGAACTCCCAACTCCCATCAGCCCCAGAATGACCAATGACTAGAGATTATGGCAATTCAGAAACATCTGGAGAGCCACAGGCTCCACATCCCTTTGGCCCAGTGTTTCAATCACTGGGGGGGGGAGGGTAGAGAGAGGAAAGGAAAGGACTGGCATCCGCACCCAACATCATTGGGCAACTGACAGGACACTAAGTCCCACTGGTGCTGCCCTCTTCCCTTGCCCCCACCCCCCAATACTGGGCAGTCTTAGAGACACCATTTAAAATTTCTCACAAGGAACTCAGGCATTGTAGCTGCCCTACATTACAGCACTGTTGCCCATTAGGCCTAACACAGAAGGAAGCCTACCAGACTGAGGCCAGTTTGCATAGGACCAGGGCCTGACCAAGGCATTTTGCTGCCTGAGGTGAAGGGAATTGGTGAGCCACATGCCCCAAACTCCCATGCAAAAACTGATTGGACCATCAAGTGAGGGCAGCAAGTTTGTTTAGGAGGTGCAGGGCACTCACAGCTGTTCTCAAACACCTTGCCACTAGTTCTTGCCCTCCAGCAACTGCCACCTAAGGCAGCCACCCTGCCCTACCTAATGGTAGGGCTGGTCTTAGGAGAACTGTCTCAAAGCTGCACTTGCCAAAGAGGGTCGGGCCCGACCCCTTATTTATTGCTTGTATTTATATCCCACGTTTCTTCCAAGATGCTCAAGGTGGCATACATAGTTCTCCTTCCCATTTTATCTTCATAGCAGCCCTGGGTGCTGGGTTAGGCTGACAGGCATTGACTGGCCCAAGGTCAAACAGTCAACTTCATGGCCGAGTAAGGATTTAAACATTGGGCTCCCAACACTCTGACCACTACACCACACTGTGATGACCCCATGGCTATTCGTTTTAGAAGGCTACCGGGAAGGGTGAGGTATATGGATGGCCTCAGTGTGGAGAGCCAGTATGGTGCAGTGGTTAAGAGCGGTAGACTCGTAATCTGGGGAACCGGGTTTGCATCTCTGCTCCTCCACATGCAGCTGCTGGGTGACTTTGGGCCAGTCACACTTCTTTGAAGTCTCTCAGCCCCACTCACCTCACAGAGTGTTTGTTGTGGGGGAGGAAGGGAAAGGAGAATCTTAGCCGCTTTGAGACTCCTTCGGGTAGTGATAAAGCGGGATATCAAATCCCAAAAAACCTCATACTTCCACCCCACATAAACCAAGCGAATTGTTTGGAATCATATTTGGAAGTTGAATCACATAAGAGATGCTCTGGCAAGGACTGCACACCACTGATAAAAGTGTTCCTCACCGTGTGCTGTGCCCTTGGCAGGATAGTCTGCTCAGTTCCCTCAGCAAGAGTATTTTTTGTTGACTGCAGAATCAAGTCGCCAAACAACGAAGCTTTTTCAGAGGATTTCTAGATGGCCTCATATTTGGAGGGGTGTGTGTGTTGAGGGTAGTGCTTCTCCAAGAAAGCAGAAATAAAAATCAGGTAGGGTATAACTATAGACTAATAATAATGGCAATACACAGTGTCCCTGACTTTGCCTGTCATTTAATAAATGCTTAGGACATACATCCAGCATGCCTAGTTTTCTCTCCATTTTTCCAACTGCACATTAAAAAAAACCTTGCCTTAAATTGATGATCTGATATGCAATTGCAGTAGCATATGGTATGTTCAAACTTCTCAAAATTAATGGAAATGAACAGCACCAATAAACATGTGACCAATTTACGGCACCGTGCTGTGCTGTGTATATTGTACACCACACTACTTGTGAAACAATGCTGAACTACTTTGAGGTTTTCTTGTTTGGTTTCTACAATCAAGTGGAATATAAATTTAATGAAATACATATGATGTGCACATCATATAATAAACTGCAGATGATCTTCCCACCTTCTAAGTATAACATTTCATTCATTCGTTTTTTAAAATATTGATAATGTTTAACTTACATGGGATATATTTTTTGGAAACACATGCACCCCGATCTTCACATACCTAGGTCTGAGGAGGCACACACACCGGGTTGAGAAACACAGATATAGCTAAATTGAAGAATATATTGCCTTAATTCAGAAGGTTTGCATGCTATCAGACTTCATTCTCTGATGGGATTTCAGCATAGCTGAGCAAGGGAAGGACTTTCCCCAATGAAACCCATACCGACCCTAATAAACAGCTCTTGCAGATGTGTCCACAGATGTGTCCTTTAATTAATGCCAAGCTGTGTGACCCAACAGCTGCACAACTTTTAATTACGGCATTATAAGCTTAAAATCAGTTCAAATGAGTCAAATAAGCTCGGTCTCCAGCCTCAAGAGGGACAGCTTATCGTATTTTGAAGTAAATGACCTAATACACAATCAGGTGACGTTGTGTGTGCGCACACGCGCGCGCATTAAGTCCAATTAGCTGCCTGCACCCCTTTCTGCAGCCACGCGCCGCAGGGCCGTGTTCTCCGCGAGCGGCCGCCACGTGGTTCTCCGGGACGCAGGCGAGCCCCTGCGACGGCCGGCCCAATGGGGCAGCTAGGATGGAGCCAAGCCTTCGAGGGGGCGGCGCCCTTGGCTCCAGCTGGCACTTTCCCCGCGTCATGTGAGCGGCAAGAGCGCTAGAGGCAGACCGAGCGCCAGCAGAGAAAGGAGCGCGACGTCGCTGGCAGCTGGGCGATGGTAAGGGCGAGCGGGGCAGCCAAGCCGGTGCGGGGGTGCAAGATAAGCGGCCCGCCCCCCGGATACGGCCCGTGAAAAGGGATGGGGTCGCTGGGGTGCGCGCGCGCCTGGAGCGAGCCAGCGGCGGAGTTCTGTCCCCGAGTTAGAGACCTGGTGGGGAAGGGGCACTAAGTGTCGGGATCGCTGGGGCGCGCGCGACTTGCCCCATACTGTTCAGCGCACGCGCCCTTTCCCAAGCTAAGAAGTTTGATCACAACTGGCTAAGTGCCGGGGATGGAAATTTGGCCTGACCTGCCCGGCTAGCCGAGGTGTGTGATGTGTTTGTTGATGAATGTGATAAAAGACGTTGCCCAATCGCTCCCACTGAAATCTTACGAGCTCAGGAGGCGGATCTTCCTGTAGATTTATTCTCATTTTTATCCGCCCCTCTTGAGTTTATTTGGAGCCCGGGGGAAAAGGCGGGGGGTGGAATCTCGCGCGCCAAGTTAACTTCGGGCTTGCTGTTGAGTCCCATGACCTTCGGAGGGAAATCTGGACGACGAGCGGATTTTCCAGCCGATCTTCGCCCTGCAAAAGCGCTACTCCAGAAATGCAGACTATGCGCGTCGCTCCCTCCCCGCTGACAGATGCAATCGGGTTTTGAGTGCGGGAATCCGGCCAAGCACGCTCAACTTCTAGGGCAAGGGAGACGTGTTGCAATCGCGTGGAGCGAGAAAAAAAGGCTGCCTGGCGGACGCGAGAAACTCGACGCGCTCGTCCCTCAACAAACAGTGGCAACGGGGCGGGATGCGGCCTTGCGCCGCCCTATGGGAAGCGCGAGGACCCGTTGATTGACGGCAAGCCTGCCCCCTGCTGCTTGATTGGAGGGCGGGATTCCAGGCTGCCCTGAATGGGGAGGGCAGAAGGAGAGGGTGGCGGCGTCACCTCTCCGTAGGGCAAGTCGCATGAGCTCGGCGCTGCCAAGAGCGCTGCCCGATTGCAGGGGGTGGTCTGCGCCGGGCAAACGCATGATTTCCGACTGAGCAGGGTGCGCGTGGCCTGCGCGGTTCCTATTTATGCCCTTAAGGATCTGATCGGGACAAATAGGTAGACGAGAAGCTCGGCCCCGCCTTCTCCATTCCCCAAGTCCGGTGGTTGCTGGAGTGAGAGACACTTTTCATAGGGTTTCTACCTCCCCCACCCCGTGTTTAACCATTGCCCAGGCCAGAGGCATATCTAGACGCTGGCGAAACCTGCCTCCATTGGGGGTGCAGGGCAAGGGCAGGGTGCAAACAACCACCACTCTCGAAATCTCTCAGCAGTCAGAGGATCCAACTGAGGTGCAGAAGCCCCCCATAAAATATGGGGAAAAGGCTGCCCTTCTCCCTCCTTGGGGAAAAGCCCCTAAGAGCCGCACACACGCTCCGCACGCTCTTTAAAGGGAGCGCGGCTCTTGGGGGAGCCTTCCTGCCGCTGCCCGGGAGAGGCTGCATGATAAGCCAGGACAGCAAAAGTGATCGCTGCCCGGTGATCCCACTTGCTGTCCTGGCTTCTGCCTTAGCCACGCGCAGCCTCTTCTGGGCAGAGGGAGCCTTCATCCCGCTGCCCTGAAGAGGCTTCGCGCAGCTATCCCAGAAGCCAGATCCCTTTTGCTGTTCTGGTTTCTGGGATTCAGAATATTTTTTTTCTTGTTTTCCTCCTCCAAAAACTAGGTGCGTCTTATGGTCTGGTGCGTCTTATAGAGCGAAAAATATGGTATTTAGGTCCTATCCTACTTGTCCCCTCAAAGGAGCCCAGGGTGGCAGACACCAAAGTGGAACAATTATGCAAGTAAAATAAGAAACATAAGTAAAACATTTTAAAACATTGCAATAATTTTAACATGCAAAGCGATGTGCTCTACCACTGAGCTGTGGTTCTTCTCCTAAATGGAATGTGGAAAAATCCCAAAACTTAAAAACTGAGGTCATATTGTAGTGATCTTGGTTATAGCTCTCCATTCCTTTATGTGCCTTGTGCAACAGAGATAACCACAGAATTGGGAAGCTACAGAACTTTTGGCCTTGAGTGCTTGGCACAGTGAGCTGTGGCAAATAGCTATGGCAGAAAAATTGACCAACAGCTTAAATTAGCTAAAGGCAGGGATAAGATATTTGATCTTGTATATGGTGTGGTGTAATTTTATCACATTCACAAATCAGTGACATATGCAGAAACATTTATCAAAGATGTTCATCAGATTATTAAAGTATGAACTGTAATATTATGATGAAGTATACAGAAAATCTTCAGGTTGCTAGAGGATCTTAGATATATGCTTACATACACGTTAGAGGAAAAATATGATAGAGACATGACAGTAATTAAAAAATGCAACTGGCTATTTTGTTTTTCAGTGTTTAGTTTGGTAAGTTGAGAATAAAATAATAATTTATGTTTGTTGACAAAAATAGGCAGAGCACACCTTAACTCTGCTCACAAAACTTTACTTATGTTGTTGTTGTTTAGTCGTGTCCGACTCTTCGTGACCCCATGGATCAGAGCACGCCAGGCACTCCTGTCTTCCACCGCCTCCCGCAGTTTGGTCAGGCTCATGTTTGTAGCTTCGAGAACACTATCCAACCATTTCATCCTCTGTCGTCCCCTTCTCCTTGTGCCCTCCATCTTTCCCAACATCAGGGTCTTTTCCAGGGAGTCTTCTCTTCTCATGAGGTGGCCAAGGTATTGGAGCCTCAACTTCACGATCTGTCCTTCCAGTGAGCACTCAGGTCTGATTTCCTTAAGAATGGATGCGTTTGATCTTCTTGCAGTCCATGGGACTCTCAAGAGTCTCCTCCAGCACCATAATTCAAAAGCATCAATTCTTCGGCGATCAGCCTTCTTTATGGTCCAGCTCTCACTTCCATACATCACTACTGGGAAAACCATGGCTTTAACTATACGGACCTTTGTTGGTAAGGTGATGTCTCTACTTTTTAAGATGTTGTCTAGATTTGCCATCGCCTTTCTCCCAAGGAGCAGGCGTCTTTTAATTTCGTGACTGCTGTCACCATCTGCAGTGATCATGGAGCCCAAGAACATAAAATCTCTCACTGCCTCCATTTCTTCCCCTTCTATTTGCCATCTTTTAAAATTTTAAATAATTCAGCTGGAATATCATCACTTCCACTGGCCTTGTTATTAGCGATGCTTTCTAAGGCCCATTTGACTTCACTTTCCAGGATGTCTGGCTCAAGGTCAGCAACCACACTACCTGGGGTATATGAGACATCCATTTCTTTCTGGTATAGTTCCTCTGTGTATTCTTGCCACCTCTTCTTGATGTCTTCTACTTCTGTTAGGTCCTTTCCACTTTTGTCTTTTATTATGGAAATCTTTGTACGAAATGTTCCTTTCATATCTCCAATTTTCTTGAACAGATCTCTGGTTTTTCCCATTCTATTGTTTTCCTCTATTTCTTTGCATTGCTCAGACTTTACTTATACCTGTATCTAAACCCAGTTCACACATCCAGTTTTCACTTGACTGTTTGTGGGAATGCACACAAACATCCAAAATAATTGTACACAACTTTGTCTATATAGGCAAAGGCCATTACAGTGCCAAAATAAATGTGTGCCCCATTAAAGATAAAGTGAGGATGCTTTAAAACACAGGTGAGATTTTAAAAATGGATTGTAGCAAAATTCCCACAAATACAAAATGTACCTTTCCTGCCTACTAAAAATAAAGTGGGACTGAGCCTTGACAGTGTTCATTTTCTTTACCACCTGCCAGAACATTAATACGTGAAAAGCCCTACCAAACACCTTTTTAAGGAAAAAAGGAAAGAAGGAAGAGGCATGTAATTACAAACAGGAAACATTTTATCAGTGAAAAATGAATGGTGTCGACTGAAAACTGGCCTGTATAAAATTAATGGCCAGGTCTCTAGCTCTTACTATCTCTATGCTGTGGATTTGTAGGGGAAACACACATGGAATTATTAAGATTCAACAACCTCTGGACTTAATTTTAATCAAAGCCTGCTACCAAACACTCCTAGAGGGAGGGGAAACTAAGAACGAGGCTGGTTCCTCCCATTCTGTCCTTTGTAAACACCTGGAGTAGGTGTTGATCTAGCGTGGGAGCAAGACAAGAGGCACTTCCAATCTTGTGAATGGGGTTATGAAATGCATTGAGCAACATCAGGTCTTTGACCCCTGTGTTGCCGCTGGCAGACCTTGAAATACTTTAAATGCTGCTCCCTTAAAGGCTGGGTGTGTTTATTGAAGAATGCTTCCCCAATCTCCAGCAGGGCTTTCAGCAATTTGAGAAGATAGCAGTGGCAAAGAGCAGCATGGACAAAGCTGAAGGAATTTCATGCCTTCACACTCTCAGAGGCTGTGGGTTCTCTTGATCCAGTCTGGGTTACCTCCTCCCCACTTTGGCTATGTTGCTGGCACCTTGCTAATACAGCAAACTGCTGTATTAGCAAGACCGAAATGATCTCCTGGGATGCAAGCCAGGGCAATGTGTTTGGAGGTCCTGGGCTGCCCAGACTACAAGACCGCTCCACTCAGCCTTGCTGATGTAGTCCAAAGGAAAGCAGAGCAGTATGTTTGGCACCAGCTGGGCTGCAGGAGTTACCAGAGGGCATCATCCAACCATTGTAGGGACTTCACTCCCGATTTGTGTAGGGTTTACTCCTTAGCCCTTTCTTCTCTCAAAGATATCCTGCAAGGCAGTGGAGGTTTGGGTGAGAGTTTTCCTTCTCCTAGATGGAAACCTCCTTCCCAGGTTGACCATCTGCCTCTCACTCCCCTCTGCAGCACGTGCAGAACCTGCCTTCCTGACAGTTGAATGGACAGGTCTCATCCATTCAGTCCCCTGGAGCCTGTCTTCTCATGTAGGGGAAGTCCCTGACACATCAAGGGTTTGAGACCCATCGGCTACCCACACCTGGTTTAGACAGCCAACTGAAACCACTTCCTGGGGTGGAGCCACTGTCACATGCTGCCAGCTTCCAGGAGCCCAGGTGAGGGCTGAGTGCCGGGTGGGGACCAAAGATGGAGAAACTACCCAAGAAGGAGCACCACCAGATTTTACAATCCTTCCCTAACATCCCATGCACCCCTTTGGCTATGTACACATCATATATTTAAGGCCCAAGAATCCTGGGAACTGCAATATGTTAAGAAACTACATCTCCCAGGATGAACTACAGCTCCCAGTGGGGAAACTGCAGCTCCCAGGATGATTTGCTGGAAGCCATCTGCCTTAAACGTATAGGGTGTACCCAGTGCTTTTTTTCCTAAAAAAATGTTTTGGGGTACTCTCACTTCCATCTGAGACTTCGGAAACACCAGGAAAGGAAAGGAAGCTGCCACGGGCGGTAAGAATGGAACTGACAATTAACCATGCTAGAGAAGAAACTAAAAATTTAATTTTTTGAAGTTTCTTCTCCTGTTAGATTCACAAAATGTTTAGGGGTATGAGTATCCCTGCGTACCCCCAGAGAAAAGCACTGTGTACCAATACGAGCCCATTAAAACTAATATTGATGTAAGTGTGAACAGAGACATGGAACAGAATCTGAGGTAACCATAGTTTTTTTTTAAATGCTTTTCACATTGACCCTTTCTAACTTTGGGTGAAATTGAGAAACCACTAATGGGACAAATACGATTTTTCCCAGGCAAACCTGTCTATCATTACCACATAGTTTTGTAATCCATAGTATGACCTGTTTGAGGTTAACCAATATTTCTTTTGATTCGGTTATCAGATGCAGGCCTTATTTTGTTTCAAAGAACTACATTCTTGCTTTCAAGTGGGAAAGAGCCCTGGCAGATAGGCCTTGAGTTGGACCCCATTAAAGAAATTGCCTCTGTTCTTCAGTCTGTTAAACCCTTAGGGCACATCCTTCCAGATGGTTCTGAATGAGTGCATTCAATGCACTGTGTTGGCTAGAGTTCAAACAATGGGTGGATTCTTAAACAGATTCTTGTAAATTTGAATTTGTATTATCTTTTTTTCCAAAATAAGGATTTTAAAAGGGGGAGGAGAAGTGGTTTTATTTTGTTTTTAATACTGAATCTGTTTATAGTAGTAAATCAAAGTAGTATATAGATCCCTTCAGGTGTTCTTTATTCCCTGTATTACTATTTTTAAATTAAGGAACCTCCTTGTGGTTGTCTTCCTGCAGGTGGATCTATAACCAGTATTCATAATTTTCAGCTCGTTGGCATAATAGTTATATACAGCTATCAATACATCTTTTTATGAGGAGGCGGCAAACCAATGGTCTCAGTAAATCATAGCAAACTGGTGTCTGCTTCAAGTCAGCTGACTGCTTCAGCTCCCATTCAGTTAGCCAACGCTTCAGTTGCTCTCAAGCATGAGATGCCACCATTGAATTTGCTGCAGGATTGCAGTGGGGAGCAGGCTTCTAACCCATCAGCTACCTCCAACTTAATCTGCACATCAGAGACGGGTGTTTCGCAGTCCAAGGTAAAGAAGGATGGGGAGAAACCACAGACCACTATCTACGAAGCCTACCTCAGACTTCCTGATTTTTGCCCGGAACTCTCCAGGGACTTTAGCCCTACACTGGAGGAGATTGAGGAGTTCCTGAATGAGAAAATGGCAATTCTCAAAGATGAGCTGAATGACCAGCAGCAGGCAGGAGGACAGCTTAAGAGAAAGTCTGAGATCAGCTTGGGCAGCCCTGGGGAACAGTCTGTTCCTGTAGCTGTTCCGGATGAAGGCCTTTCCAGCTCCGCTCAGTCAGGAGTGGTGGTTTCTGGTGGTACAGGCATCCCAGGGACTGTGGGGGCTGTCCCAGTTGTCCTTCAGATCCAGCCCAACCAAGCGAGTGAAGGCAACTCGCCAACCCAGAGCCCTGTTGGTGGTATTAGGGTGGCTCAGTTGGTCATCAAAATGCAAGGGCAGAGCCTGACTGTTCTTCCCCAGGTCATCCAAAGCCCTTCAACAGGCACAGAACAAAAATATGTACGGATAGCCCCTTTGCCTGTGACGCTGAGGCCTGGAGTTCTTGGAAGCGTGAAGAATGTGGAGGCCAGGGCCCCCAAAGCCTCCCCTCCTGTCATCCGAGTCCACAAGTGCACACATCCCGGTTGCACAAAGATGTACACTAAGAGTTCTCACCTCAAGGCACACTTCCGACGCCATACTGGAGAAAAGCCGTACACCTGTACTTGGCCCAACTGTGGCTGGAGGTAAGTGTGTGGCAATAAAAACGGCCTGGTTATTTTTTAAAAAGTTGACAGTTAACTTTGCTCAATGAAAGCTTTGTGGGATCAGATAGGCTCACTTAACTACTAGAATAAACTAGTACTTCCAGCCAACAGTGCAATCATGTATATTTCTCAGGCACCAGTCCCATTGTGTTCAGCAAAGCCTACTCCCAAATCCTGTACAAGTGTCCTTAGGATTGCAAGGTTACGTATTGGTTGAGAAATAATTTAAAATGTGTTAAGTTGTGGGCGAACATATCAGACGACACAGCAATTCTTCCAAAGCAGCTCTTTATCTGTAAGCTGGAACTGAACTGAACTGAGGAGCTCGTCAGCCTGCTTATATAGAGCTCCACTAGAATGCAACAGTAACCATTTTCTGTAACTAGCCAATCACTGAACGTCACTTTCGACCCTTCATTTGCATACAAACTATCCAATCACTGAACGTCACTTTCGATCCTTCATTTGCATAACTATCTACAGTATCCCCCCTGCTGGCCCAGGGTGAGAACTTTAGTACATAACAAAATGTATTGCCTGGACACAACTAGACATTTCTCTACAAGCTCTGCTGAAATGGATTGGAGCTGTTCAAGAACATCGGTGATCATCATTGGTGCTTTTTAATATTACCATCTGTGTCTTTTTAAAGGAAACAACTCCAGTGAAAACAAACAAATCTCATATTTAGTCAACAGTGAATGAATCTTTCACTGATGGGATTCAATTAGCAATTCATGTTATTTTTCTATCCCTGGTCAGATAATGACTGATACATACACAGCACTGTTGCCATATTATATTCTTTTATTTCCTCAGCAAGGTTTCTGTTCCTCCTTTGACTGCCAGGCAGCGCACAAATGATGATGCTAGGGATCATTAGGAGAGGAATTGAAAATAAAACTGCCGATACCATAATGCCGTTATATATATATCTATGGTGCAACTGCATTTGGAATACTGTTCCATACGGTTCTCGTGGCCTCACCTTGAACACGATATTGTAGAGCTGGTAAAGGTTCAGAAAAGGGCAACCAAAACTGGCCAAGGGGACGGAGCAACTTATCTATGAGGAAAGGTTGCAGAATATGGAACTACAGTGGTACCTCGGGTTAAGTACTTAATTCGTTCTGGAGGTCTGTTCTTAACCTGAAACTTCTTTTTTTTTTTATTAAAGATATTTATTAAAATTTTTAAACAAACAGATTTCACATACTTAGAAAATACAAAAGAAAATACATAGAAATACATAAGAAAGAAAAGAAAAACATAAAAATCCTGTTTCTAGCTTGCTACCTTCATAACCCTCTTTCCTGACTTCCTCAAGTCCTTTTCTGTGTTCTCTTTTAAAAAATCATATTCAGCAACATCTTACCCTCTTTTGAATCTTATTATTATTATACATTTCAACTATTATGTCACCAGTTTTTCCCTTCGTATCATTTCGTTTAGTTCTGACATAATATTATTCTAACTTTTTAACCTGAAACTGTTCTTAACCTGAAGCACCACTTTAGCTAATGTGGCCTCCTGCTGCTGCCATGCCGCCGCTGCACGATTTCTGTTCTCATCCTGAAGCAAAGTTCTTAACCTGAAGCACTATTTCTGGGTTAGCGGAGTCTGAAACCTGAAGCGTATGTAACCTGAAGCGTATGTAACCCGAGGTACCACTGTACAGAAAAAAAGTGAGTAAAAGGTGATGTAATAGGCATTCATAAAACGATGCATGTCGTGGAGAAAGTGGCTCGAGAAATTTTTTTCTCCTTTTCTCCTAACACTGGAGCTTGTGGAACTCCAATAAAACTGAATGTTGGAAGATTCAAGACAGATAAAAGAAAGTACTTGTTCACCCAGTGCATAGTTAAACTATGGAACTCGCTCCCCCGGGAGACAGCCACCTAACTGGATGCCTTCAAAACAGAATTGGAAAATTCATGGAGGAGAAAGCTATCTAGCAGCCATGGTGGCTCTGCTTTGCTTCCATGGCTGAAGGCAGTAATGCTTCTGCATACAATGAGGGTGAGCCCTCTTGTGCTCAAGTCCTGCTTGTGGGTTTCCCACAGGCCTCTGGGAGGCAATTGTGAGAACAGCATGCTGGACTAGATGGCCCATGGACCTGATCCACCAGCCTCCTCTTCTATTGCTATGTTTTTATTTTCCTTGGGGGAAAGGCCATAGCTCAGTGACGCAGCACATGCTTCAATGGAAAGTAGCCCAGGTTCAGTTCCCAGCTTTCTAGGGAAAGACCCCTGCCTAAAACCCTGGAGCCAGTTGTAGGTAATACTGAGCTGCATGGACCAACGGTCTGATTTGGTAGCAGGTGGCTGTCTGTCTTATTAGCAGTAAGGGGAAAAGGCTTCCTGCGTTGCATTTTTGCTAATCTTGCAACTGTTCAAAGGCATAGGACCTCTTCCCTGATGGGGGAGAAAAATAAAAGGGGGCGTGCACTAGCCTCCCCATGCACTGTAATTGTGCAACCCACCATTCTTTTTCAACAGCTTTGTGAATAATTTCGTTCTGCATTTCCCAGAATTAATTCCATGAGTAGATTAGCTGCAGTTCACAGACTTCTGTGCCCTGCTGTGGTGCAGCTGATAGTCCAGGTAGAAGCTCAAGACAGTCATGTGGCAAGGAGTTCCTTCTTTTAATAGGTTCCCTTCTTTGCTGATCCTTCCCATGGGGAATACATCTGATGTGCTGAAGTCGCAAAGCCTTCAGGGATTACATTTGTATCTGCCCATGCTGCCCCTTGTACCTTTTCCTCAAGTGGATGCTTTTGTTTAAAATTTGAAAGCCTCCAGCTGTCGTGGCATTGGTGGCAGGGACTTTCCAAATGTGGAGAGGCTGCTCCTAGGGAACCTGCAGCTGACAGACTTTGCAGCGGCTTTGCAGCCATTGCTCAGGGCATCTTGTGAAAAGAGGAGCTCAGTAAAATATCGATATTGTTTCCAAAATACGGAGGGCATGTGCAGTTTCCAAGCTTACCAAACAGGGGAGAAGGGCAGGGACTGGAACAGGCCCCCAGGCAAGGGTTGCACATATTTGCTCCTCTCAAGCAACCTGAAATCCTTAACAACATATAGGGTTGAATTTACTGTTTCCTTGAGAATCATTCTCAAGGGGGTCCTGTGTGATCTTGGCTGATCTGCTTCCTTCCAGCTTCTTTGGCTGTAATGACCTGAGACTTTGGAATGTATTCCTGCTTAACTGCAGAAAGTGAAGTCAGTGGGGCTTCTTTCTCCCCCTTGTAGCTCTGGTAAATGTATTAGGAATCTGTTTGATCTCTGCAGTGCTCTATAAAACCAGACTTCTCCTCTACATTAGATATGAGCTGCAAATGGAGGAGGAGTCAGTGAGCATAACAAGCTTCTGATTCCACATTCTTTTGTGGACATTATGGATGGGCTCATCTAATGACTCTACCATATGTCTGGGTCACTGAGAATGCATGGTTTTTAGTTCTTTCCTGCAGCATGTATGCATCTCCTATATCAGCGATGGGGAGCCTGTGGGCACAAATCCCAACTCCTAATAGGCTCAGCTACAATGGTGGATGGTTAGGGATGATGGGAGTTGTAGTCCAGCAACATCTGGAGGGCTGTTATAGGTTAGCCACCCCGGCTTTATATTTTCTAGATTTTAAAATAAGATTGAAGGAGCATCTCCACCCGCATCGTTCAGCCCAGACACTGAGGTCCAGCTCTGAGGGCCTGCTGGCGGTTCCCTCACTGCGAGAAGTGAGGTTACAGGGAACCAGGCAGAGGGGCTTCTCAGTTGTGGCGCCCACCCTGTGGAATGCCCTCCCATCAGATGTCAAGGAAATAAACAACTGACTTTTAGAAGACATCTGCAAGCAGCCCTGCTTAGGGAAGTTTTTAATGTTTGATGTTTTATCGCCTTTATAATATTCTGTTGGGAGCCACCCAGAGTGGCTGGGGAAACCCTGCAAAATGGGTGGGATATAAATAAACTTTTATTTTATTTTTATTAAATAAGTTTTCAGTAGCCCAGTGGGTTAGAGTAGATCTCATAACTGCCACTGAGTAGATTACCCAAGATCATCCAGGGAATCTGAGAAAGCAGATGATCCAACTGGATTCCTTCTTTCTAGGGTTGGTTACTGTGAGATCTCCTTCGTAATTGTATATTTGCCTTTACAAGGTGCAGAAAGTTATGAAAGGGCAGTGTACCAGTTGGGATTTCTGAACTGCTTTCAAAGGCTGCACATGTACTGGCATATTTGAAACATATAACCTGTATTCATATGCGCCCTGAGGATCTGTTGCCAATTGCCAAACTCAGTGGCATGTACTCATGGGTGAGATGGACACATACCATTTAAAATACAAGAATGTATGTTGTATGTACAGTATGTGACATATTCATTGAAAGTGTTTTATTCTGTTCTTCAGCCAAAAAAGACCTCTAGAGTGGCTTGCAAAGGTCCGTGTTAACAGTGGCGTAGCGTGGGTTGTCAGCACCCGGGGCAAGGCAAGTAATTTGCGCCCCCTAACCCGTGGATTTGTGCCCCCTAACCCGTGGATTTGCGCCCCCTAACCTGTGGATTTGCCCTAACCCCAGATGTTGTGCCCGGTGCGGCCGGCCCCCCCTGCACCCCCCACGCTACGCCACTGCGTGTTAAGACAGACCCTACTCACAGGCTTTAAAAGACAAAACACAGAAAGAAAAGGGATTGGGAGAGACGAGGCGGCGGACGGGACGGGATGATTTCAGGCACTATTTCCTAGTTACAGATTTCTAATCATCCTTAGTCATGAGCTATTTCTCACGATCTGAAGTTGCAGGGGTTCTTGTCTGCCCATAAGTCTTTTTGAGATTAGAAAAAGAGACAAAGTTATTCCCTTACATTTCCCCACTCAATGGCACCACTTTGGTTCCATCAAGGCCCCTTGACAATTAAAAAAAAAGAGGAAAATACCTTGTCCAGGGTTGTTTCTGATGTGACTCTGAGTGGATTGTCAGTGAGATCATGTCTGGTCTGTTCCTGAATTATTATGTAACATTGGACAAGTTGTGCTTCCTTCTTCGTCTTTGTTTTCCTCACTCCAAACAGAGAGACAGTATTTCACAGAAGCTTGATGACTTTGTTAATATTTGTCAAGGTCTTTGAGTTCCTTTGTTGGAAGGCACTTCTTGAACTTGTTTTAAGGCTTACTGCTCTTGTCGAAGGCTGATTTTCTTCTACATCATGTCAGCCTTGGTTCATACGTGAAAAGAAATGAAGGAACCAATAAGGGGTGGGAAGGAGAGAGACAGACAGAATGTCAGTGGTACACAAGAATAAAGGGTCAAGAATGGGCAATTAAACCTCTGTCTTTGTGCACCTTTGAGAGGTTATATTTTATTTATTATCACCTTTATATCCCACCAAGGAGCTCAAGGTGACATACATAGTTCTCCCTGACCCCTTCCTGTCCTCAAAGCAACCTTGTGAGTTTGGTTAAGCTGAGGGACTGTGGCTGGCCCAAGCTCACCCAGTGAGCTTTATGACTGAATGGGAATTTTGAACCCTGGGCTCTCAAGTCCTAGTCATCTCACTCTACTACATTATCCCTTTCACCTGAGATGGTAAATCTGTGACCCTTCACAAGCTGTTGGGACTCTAGCTGCCATCAACCTTGATCATAGGCCATGCTGGCTGGGGCTGCTGGGAGTGGAAGATGAACAACATCTGAAGGACCATCAGGTTGTGCCATCCCTGCCCTGCCTGAACCCAAGAGTGGTTCGTGACCTATAGTCCCAATGCACCAGAAGCCAATGAATTGCACCTGCCTGTTTCCAAGTGGCAAAGATTCATGTCTAGAGAAGCTGCTTTCTAGCATCTTGCGGTTTCAAAATGTGAGTAGGGCGCATGTTTTTCTATTTCTGAAATAGACACTGGATTCTTGAGAGTCACACTAGAGCAGCATCTGCTAGACAAATCTGCTTTATATCCCATAATCTTCTCTTGTAGTTTGCTTTGACTGTGTGTGAAGCCATTTGGTGAGAACAACCTCCTTGGTTCACGCAACTGTGCAGTAAACATATCTTCTTCTGTCTGGTAGGTTTTCCCGCTCGGATGAGCTCTCTCGCCACAAGCGCTCCCATTCTGGACTCAAGCCTTACCAGTGCCAAGTGTGTGAGAAGAAATTTGCCCGCAGTGACCACTTATCCAAACACATGAAGATCCACAAAGGGTCATTCAGTTTGGGAATCCGGACAGCTCAGGGTTGTGGTCATAGCTGACTCTGCTTTTGCTGCCTTGCCAAGAACATAATTCCTGCTCAAGTGAGATGACAAATGCAAATATAAAAGACGGCTTTGTTTGGAAGGGAGGAAAGGAATTGACTTGTGTAAAGTCTATTGGAAAGACCAAAGCCTACTTCTACCTGAACATGCCTTTCAATCAGGACCTGCCTCCAAACAGGTCCCTGATACTTGTGAACTCTTGTAAAACTTGTAATTAAGTTTGTGGGAAAGATGTGACAATAAAGGATGTTGGGGTGGGCAGGGTGAGATTCACTGTTTAGATCTGAATTTTAGAATATGGACTGTTTAGGCCAAGGATGGAAGAACCTTTGGTCTTCTAGATTGTGTTGGGCTACAGCTTCCGTTATTTCTGACCATTGGCCATGCTCGGTGAGATTGATGGGAGGTGGAATCCAACAACATCTGGAAGGCCACAGGTTCTCCATCTATGGTTTAGTCATTTCTAATGCTTTTTCCTGTGGTGTACACATAGAACAGTATTTGAATGGGAGGGTGTGGGTTCTTTTGCATTTCTTTCTGAGTTAGCATCCTGCTTGATCACTCAGCCACTGATTCTGAAACTATAACCAATGCAATGAAATTACAGGTGAAATATTCACTAAAATGGCAAATCTCAAAGTTCAGAGCTTGAATATCAGTACCAGGAAATCATATTTTCCCAAGTCTTTATTTTCAGACTATACCTCTCTAAAGCCAAATTGGTTTCATGGCATTCAGTGTAATTTGTTTCAGTTACAGATAGGTAGCTGTGTTGGTCTGCCATAGTCAAAACAAAAAAAATTCCTTCCAGTAGCACCTTAAAGACCAACTAAGTTAGTTCTTGGTATGAGCTTTCGTGTGCATGCACACTTCTTCAGATAGTGTAATTTGTGTGATGCGTAATGGTTTGTCTTTAGGAAAATGAATTGCATTATGGATTACTGTGAGTTGTTATTCTATAGCCCCAATTTAAATGTTTATTCTGTGAGCTGTACACTGCTTGTGCCTGAGAATGGGACTTGGGGTCCAAGACCTAACCTGTACACATGTTAATCCATGGTGGGAAATGTAATCTGATTTGTCTCTGAAATAAGACAAACAAGAGTGTCCTGAGTCTGCCCCAGACTGTAAAGCAGAAATGAGGAACCTCCAGATTGCTGGACTACAGCTCCCATTATCCCTAGCCATTAGTCATGCTAGCAGGGGCTGATGGGAGTTGAAGTACAATAAAAGCCAGAGGGCCACAGATTCCCCATCCTTGCTATGATGTTTGGTGGTACAGCCTTAAGTATTGCACACATTGCCTATGGTTACAATTCTATGCCACTTTGTTGAAAGTGAGCCCCACTGAATACAATGGACTTGTTTCTGAGAAGACATTTATAGCATTGCACTGTAAATGCCTCAGATGCCTTTTGTTTGAACTTATTTTGAGCATTGTTAATCCACCAGAGCTGTCATTATGGTTTGTTTTGCTTTTATTATTCAGGTTGCTTAACTTACCTTGCACCCATGGAATTCAGGGCTGGTTAGAGAGAGAGAGAGAGTGATTGATGCAAGTCCCAACACAGTCAGTCTCATGACTGGGTGGGGATTTAACACAGGTCTACCATGGCATTTCTGTGCGCTGCTCTGGTTTACCAGAAGCGGCTTAGTCATGCTGGCCACATGACCCGGAAGCTGTACGCCGGCTCCCTCAGCCAATAAAGCGAGATGAGCGCTGCAACCCCAGAGTCGTCCGCAACTGTACTTAATGGTCAGGGGTCCCTTTACCTTTACCAGGTCCCCTGTGGTAGCCATTATGACAACTTCCACCTGATGATTTCTTTCTTTAGTTAAAACGACGAAGAGTTGTGCAGCACCTTAAAGCAGGAGTGGGCAAGCTGCAGTGCTCCACTGTGCTGGGCTCCCAACTCTCATCAGTCCCAGCCAGCATACTCAGTGGCCAGGGGTGGTAACTGCTAGCCATGATGGGTACATTCTACCCCCACTGTTGGACGCAGTATTACCTATGAATGCCAACTGCTGGGAATCACAAGGTGGAGGGTTGCTGTTGTGTACAGGCTGTGCTTGTGGGCTTCCCACAGGCATCTGGTTAGCCACTGTGAGAACTGGATGCTGGACTTGACGGACCTTTGGACTGACCCAGCAGGGCTTTTCTTATGTCGTTGTTATTGCATAAGGTTGCAGGTTCAATCCCTGGCATCTCCTGGTAGGGGTGGAGACCCCAGAGAGCCACAGATAGTGTAGACATTTCTGAGCTAAGTGGACTCATAGCCTCACCCTGTATAAAATAGCTTCCAATGCTCATGTGTCTTGAACCTACGTGGCAAGATGCCTTGTTTGTTATGTGTCTCCACCCTGTTTTGATGCAATGGTTCTTGCCAGAAGTTGAGAACAATAGCTTACCAAGTGCAAGTCTAGTAGCCTGCTCTCAAACATGTTTACTTGGAAGTGTTTTGATTCTGCGATACATATGTTGAGTGTGCTTCTTGTTGTTGCCTGCCTTGGTTATTCAAGCCTCCTTCCCCTGCGGGCACCTTCTTTTTTCCAGTCTGTGCCAGCCTGAGTGACTCATACACCACCTCTTTCTCTTTTCCTTGCTCCAGCTTCCTTATACATAAAAATAACTTTCCTTTCTCCAGCTTCATTATCTCACATTACGTTCTTTGGATCTGCACACACTATACCTTGAAAGCACATTCTAAGCACATTCTTTCTCTCAAAAAAAATAAAATAAACATAGGCACTGTAGTTTAAGGATTGCTGGGAATTCTAACTCTGAGAGAGTTCAACTACAGTGCCCAGAATTCTTTGAGGGAAAGAATGTGTTTTGAATGTGCTTTCAAGGTAGAGCATGTACTAATGTTCAGGCTCTGAACTGGGCTCTAAATGAACATCTAAAGAAGCTCTGTCACCATTATTCCTCCCACAGAATGAGCTTTTGTTGGCAATATCGACTTAGTCTAAAAGGATGTTTGAAAAGCACCTCCTACGGGAAACTGTGCTATGACAATTCTAGCTATTTAAAGCCCTGAAAAAGAACTTGTGCTCACAGGTGCAGAAATCCAGGATTCATGCCCAGCCATGCAGACAGATATATTTGCATATGTCACAGTAAAGAAAAACAAACTGAATCAGTCGTCATAGCTGACAGAGTTACTTGTCAACTGCTGCATTCCCTCTCGGAAAGGAAAATGAGTTTTGGCAATCTGTGTGATTCTTCCCCGCTCTCACTCTTTTCTTAGTTTTCATATAAATATCTCTTTTTAGGCATCCATCAGTCATCCTGTGATAAAAGCCCTTTATCTCACATTGGCCTCAGATTAACTTCTTGGCTGTGTAAATAAAGTACATGTTCTAAAGTTCAATCAGAGGTTGCTGAAAGTTGAGAGAGTCCACAATCCATGGCAATAGTGGAATCCCCATTTCCTTCCTTTTCATCCTAGCATGACACCATCGTGTCAATACTACCAGGGTCATTAACAGTTCACAGTTTCATAGGTTGATTGCCAATCGCAGTGATTTTCTAAATTCAGTCCACAAGGAAGGATGGCTGGAAAACAGACTGGATTATCAATTTAGGCAGATGGGTGGTTAGCTCAGGATAACAACCTTGGGCTAACAACCCTGAGATAGCAGGTACCATTGCCTGAATCAACCTATAGATGGGCTAACCCAAGTATCTTCAGATATAACATAAGTTCAATCAGGGGCAAGCAACACGCCATCAGCCCAATTTCAATTTGGGAGACAAGGAGGGGGGAAAGGGGTTTACAGACAGAGAAAATTGAATGAAAGAGGGAGAGAGGGGAGGGGAAGAGCCACAGAGGAAGGGTACTCCTTCCTACTTTTAACTCTATCCCTACCCACTACCAACATTCAGCTGCCAATATGTTCTCTGTTTGTTCATGACACTTACAATTTGTCTTTCTTCCTTCATGGAGCCCTAGGCAGTGTACATCTGGTTTCCAGGGAGGCACTCATTAAAGAACTCTGCTTTAACTTCAGCAAGGTGCTGGCATGTTGTGATATTATCTTCACAGGAATACAACCCATTGCAGGTTCCTGGACCCTGATTTAAAGGGATAAAGAACTGTGATAAAACTGGCATGATGACCTTTTTTTGGCGTTGGTGGGAGTGAATTCTTACTTTCTCAAAGAAGCCTGCAAGTTGGGCTTCAAAGAAAGGAATGTCTGGCTGACAGCAATAGTTTTTCAGGCAAGGGCAAGAGATGTGGTGCACGCTTGGCTATCTGTGTCAGACTTGTCAAGGCTGGAATTCTTGAGGTCTGTTTAAATTGCCTGTTTTTTTTTAATATTTACATTAATACATGTTGGATAGGGAGGACAGAGTATGGCTTCACACAGTAGCTGTAGCCTGCTCCTGTGTGTGAGACGTCTTGCACTTGGACTGCTACATGATGCATGAGAGCTCTGAGTGTATTTATACAAGTGCTGGAGAAGGAGGCAATACAAAAACCTACCGCTGTGTGGTTTCCAGCTACCTACAATAAAGTATGGGTCAGCTATATGCAATTTTGTCCGACAGAATTACTTGGAACTCACATGTCACAATTTTCCTCATATCCTCCACCATTTCGTAGGGGAAAATAGGCCTAGACCTGTGAATATGTCTTTGGGTGGGCCCTGGGGTGTGACTTGGCATATAAAGGCAGCTCAGGAAGGTGTGGCACTGCAAATGTACCACAGGCAGAATACAAGGCAAGTGAGGCACATAATACACATATGTACTGTACTGTTGACTGTTTAGAACATGGGTAGGCAAACTAAGGTCTGCGGGCCGGATCAGGCCCAATTGTCTTCTGGATCCAGCCTGCAGACGGTCCAGGAATCACTGTGTGGATTGCCAGCACGCACATGCTTTCCCTCCACCTCACAAGGCGCCGCCGCCTCCTCCCTCCCTCCTCCCGGCTTCTCCCTGCCCTGCCTAGAGGAGGAAGGGGCTGGGCTTTGTTGGTGCCAGCAGCAGCAGCGCTCAAGCGCCATTTTAAGCTGCCCCTCTCCGGAGCCCTTTCGCATGCTGCTCATCGTCCCTCCACTGCCACCGCCAGCCCCTGCCGCTTGCAAGACATAGGTAAGCAGCCACCGGGGCTCATGGTGCTCTTGCATCACCCCCCCATATAGTCCGGCCCCCCACAAGGTCTGAGGGACAGTGGACTGGCCCCCTGCTGAAAAAGTTTGCTGACCCTTGGTTTAGAAGATATTGTCCCATTTTATATGCAGGATTGTACTTAAGTATTTATTTATTTAGCCTGCTTCACTGAATGACATGGGGCTACTTGGTTATCTGCGTGCTTTGATTCGGCCATTTCCAGTCAGCGAAGCCAAAGCTAAATAAATAAATCCTTAAGCACAGCTTAAATGATACTAGTTGGACCTGTGTTAAAATTCCTATTCTGCTATGAACCTAACTCTGCGGCTGTGGGTCAGCCACTTTCTCTTCTTGTACGCTTGCCTCCTAGGGTGGTTGTGAGGATAAAATCACCATGCCTAGCACCCTCAATTCCTTGGAAGAAGGGTAGGATGCAAACAGCAACATATAATTCAGGCTCTTTATGTGCTTGCACACTGGTGTTTGTAGCAGTAAAGTGTGAAGAAGGCAAGCTTGTAAATGCACAATTGGCATGTACCAGGAGTCTAACCACAATTTTAACTTCCAGAGCATTCCCACTGCACGTATGCCGATGCTGTGTGCCTTTCTTTTATAGTTTACGGTGTTTCCTGCAGCAAAAACTGGCATGCAGTGGCAGATGCTCTAGCGTGTGAAGCATGAAACAGCTCCAACAGCATGTAGTCTCATCTGAATTGTGTCTCATCTGACTTCATCTAGATTGCACCTAGAGGTTAAAGTGCTAAGCAAAGCAGCCCAGAGGAGAGTTCAAAAAAGTGGCTTTTCATGGCTGCATCTTGTGCCTTTTATCTTTATTGTGAGCAGGGTTACCAAATAATTGTGAAACAAGTTACTCTTTGCCTACTTTGTGCAATCTCTGTAACTCTTAGAATTTTCACTTTAGCTACTTGATAATTGGGCTGCCTTTATGGACACTTGTGCTATATAATCCAATATAGCAGAATCAATCTTTACCTTTCTAGTTTTACAGCAAGACATCCAATGTTCTCCCTCTACTCATCCTACCTCTGCCTTTGAGGAAGGCACATCATCATTTGTAAACCAATTAAATAAACTGAGAAAAATAAATCGAAAAACACCACAGGTTTCAGTGTTTTATTGCAGCCACAGACTTTGTATCCACAGGGCAGCTTTTACTGCGGCAGGTGGGGGGCAAAGTTTGTTCAGAACATGAATCTTACTTTAGAAAGAGTATGTCCACCCATGCTCCTTTGTCTCTGAAGCCTTGCCTTTTTCCCTATTGAAAGTTATCTCCTACTTGTTCTCTAACATCAGACAATTGGCAGAACACCATCTCTCCTCTTAAATCATTACCTATTCATCCTGCAATCACATCCTCTGGCTTAGAAACCACTGGCCTCTATCCGGGGTGCCAACTTAAATAAAAAATTTTTGGGGGGGCAGGTAAGCCCTTCTATCACATAATCAATCACAAGACACCATTTGAATGGATTGCCCAACAACTTGGGAGGGGAGGGGGCTGGCCCCTCAGATATTTTATTGGAGTGTGTGCGGAAAGGGACCTCAGGAGCTGGCTCCTATGCTTCGTATGGGTTTTGGTCTGTGGGTCTATCGCTTTAAATCTCTGCAAAATGATTGTGGCATTAAACGTGTATAGAAGCAAACTAAACAGATAATCGACAAAAAAGTGGGCGTGCCTCCACGGGCGCCCTGGCCACTTGCTTCGAGTCCATGCAATAAATATTACAAAATGACAAAACACAAGCATACGCTCCTCCCCTCTCTCTGTCTCTGGCCTGTGTAGAGGCAGCCAGCAACCACTGGGGAAAAAACTCCAACCCCCACAGTGCCCTGCGGGCGGGAGGCGGGCCGAGCGTTTTCATTGGCCCACCCTCCGACTGCGCCTGCTTACGATTGGCTTGGCCAGCAAGTTTCCATTCCTCCCTTTCCCGGGAGGGTGGAGGGGCGGAAGTGGCGGGTACGGCGGCCGTAATGAGACCGCGGAGTCCGCCTGCTAGGGAGTGAAGCTGCTGCCCCGTCAGCCCCCTTTCGCGACGCGGCTCGCTGCTTCCGCGTCGGCCGCGAAGGGATGGGGACTCGCACTCGGAGTCTCCGCGGGGACTCCCGGCCATGAAAGGCAGGGACTCGGCAGGGAGCTCAGCACCTGCCGCCGCACGGGGACCGCTTGGCGCGGGCGGGCGGGCTCCGCCTAGGTGAGTGCCGGGCCGGGACCCCTTCCCCGTCGACCTCCGTCCCGCCCCGGGCCCCGGCGCCACACACCCCGGCCCGGCCAGGATCGCCCTGGAAGACGCTCAGCCCGCGCGGTGGCCTCTTCTTCCCTGGGTGGGATGGACGGCTGCGTCCTCCAAGGGTGGCAGAAGTGCTCTCTGCCCATGCTCAGGGGAACCGCCTTGTTATTAATCCAGGGGCTAAACTAGGGCTTTCGTACAAGATTAAGCTCACCCCCCCCCGTCGCCCGCCCTTGTGGTTCCATGTGGGGCTGCTAACCACTTTCCCCCTGTTGCAGCTGCTTTATGGGTTTCTTCCCATTCCTTCTCTCAACTCTACTCACAGACTTGGCTGTGTTGTACCCAGTCGCTTCTGTAATTAGTAAAATCAAAATGGTCAGCATTTGCTGCCAGTTACTTTAGTTCCACTTGCTGGTGCATAGGCTTCTCTACAGCGTGTTATCTCGCTGGCTTCTTTCAAGCAGCCCTGCCCAAACTACTGCCTTTTTTTTACAGGTAAAGGAAGGAGCGAATGGGTGTGAGAGTTCTGGCTAAGCAATAATTCGGAAATTCCTTCCTGGCCCGAGCAGTTGAAATCTGTCTGCTGGACTATACTGGCAGAAGCCCATTATTTTTCTTTATAACTGATGTTTATACATTGCCCTGCATCCCTTGGGGCTTAACTACAGACCCAGCCTATGGAATTTAATCTCAGTTTTTGTCTTCTGGTTTCTGCAGAAATCTTAAAATGTGGTTCCTCAAATATGTTGTTATCTTCCCAGCTGCCTTGCTTTTCAGAACCTTTCATCATGGCTTTCCTGGAGTTCATGTCCCCCTATTTTGTGTTGTCTGTCTCTTCTGGTTTCTAGCACTTATGATAGTCAGTTTCTTGTTACCCGAGGCTGCATTTGCATGAATGTGAGTAAACTGTGTTGGGTATTTCTGCAGGGTTTACACAGCTTCTATACTGGCTGTGTGTGTCATAACAACAGGATGTCATACACAGCTATCCCAGAGTTATGTCCTTCCTAAAATACAGTCTGTAACTTACAGTTTGGGAGTGGAAAAGAATAAGCCCTTCTCTTGTAATGCTCATGTGAACAAACACCTCTTTAAAGAAGAGTCTGGGCTCACTTTAGCTTCTCTTTTTGCATGTTTCAAGAGGTTGTGACTTTAAAAATAATTTGTTAGCTGAAATTCCTAATGCGAATATGATCTGTATCTGTATCAAGGTGGCTAACCTGTGGCTTATCAGAAGCTGTTGGACTCCCATCAGCTCCAGCGTGTGTGGCCAGTGGTCACAAATGATGTGAGTTGTAGGCCAAATACAGGTTAATCACCCCTGCAGAGCCTGCCATTATACAAGATCACATTGATTGGCAAAAGAATCTGAACTGTGGCCTGGCGGTTGCACAGTGTGGCAGAGACACCTCTGCATCTATAGCCCTGTCACCCATACCAGCTGCTGTGAGGGGAAAAGGAGCTCTGTGCCAATGGAGTGATGCAATCCAAACACACACACATACCCCAGTGTGGGCAGTGGGGGTTGAATTATACCCTAAGCCTAGTTCTGTGTTTCTAGCAGAGGCATACTTAGGGCTTGGCAAGGAGCTGTATCACCTCCCCCCTGCAAAAAATAAAATAAATAATAAATCACTGCTGTGTTTGATCTTGGCACAACAGTGGCATCATGTTGCCACACACGTATATGCCATACACTCCATAGTCTCCCATGGTTTGCCTTTATATCGCCTTGCCATTTCTCCTACTGCTCAGCAATGAAATTCTTGGCTAAACTCACAACCTTACACAGATAACTAAGGTATGCCTCTGGTTTCCAGTCGTTAACACAAATTAGCATTCTTTACCTATAAATAAGACACTTTACTTTAAGTTTACTTTAATCTACTCCTGCAGCAACTAGTCTGCTTCTGTTCTAAGGGAGTCCTATCTTTCCTTAAGTATCCCCATTTGCTTCATTGCACGTGACCCTCATCCATTGTCACCCTCTTCTTACTGCTATTCTGGCAAAATATCCCTTGCTCCACTTTGCTTGCTTCATACCCAGCTGCCCAGCTTTGTGTTGTGTTTGGTTTGTTGCTGCTAACCTGGCCAAGAGATGGGACAGCAGTTGTGGGCAGGAACTGGAGCAGGGAGACATAGCGGGATGTTTTTGTGGTTGGTAGGAGCAAACTAGAAAAATAAACAAATGTATATTTTTGAAAACGTAAACTGGCAGAGGGGTTCATGTTTGCAAACTGCTGCAAACACTTGAATTTGCTTATTATGGGGATCTTTCTACCTCTCTTTCATTGGGAAAAGTTGCAAAAAGTATGTTAATAACTCTTTCATTGAGTGTGCAGGATCCCTGTAGAAATGCTTCTGAAAGCAATCGGTGAGATGGGATGCTCTGTCAGTGTCTGAGTTATTTGTATGAAAATCCTTGGGCTTCATTTTTGTGGTGTGAGGTCTGAAGTCTGGTGTGTGTGTGTGCGTGCGCGCATATACAAGCCAGGAACTTGTAAAATGAAAGCAACTGCTAAAAGCATTGAAATCTTGCCGTTCCGTTCAGGACTTTGATCTCTGTAAGGTTATGGTAGCTATTTGTAATCAGCTCTGCAAGCCTACCCTTTCTCCTGTGAACTTTGATTTCCTCCCCGGAAATGCTTACTGAGATCACAGCATTTTCTTAAATCAAAAATATCTGAACTACAATAAGGATGCATTTATAAATATTCCCCCCTATAATAACAAAGTGAATGGCTCTGTTCCAAAAAAAGGCATTGAAATGGGGCCACCCAGGGAGAATGTTGTTGTTTAGTCGTTTAGTCGTGTCCGACTCTTCGTGACCCCATGGACCAGAGCACGCCAGGCACTCCTGTCTTCCACCGCCTCCCGCAGTTTGGTTAGACTCATGTTTGTAGCTTCGAGAACACTATCCAACCATCTCATCCTCTGTCGTCCCCTTCTCCTTGTGCCCTCCATCTTTCCCAACATCAGGGTCTTTTCCAGGGAGTCTTCTCTTCTCATGAGGTGGCCAAAGTATTGGAGCCTCAACTTCACGATCTGTCCTTCCAGTGAGCACTCAGGTCTGATTTCCTTAAGAATGGATGCGTTTGATCTTCTTGCAGTCCATGGGACTCTCAAGAGTCTCCTCCAGCACCCAGGGAGAATACTTTTGGCCTATTCAAGGACAGAGCCATCAAAGGGGGTGGGGAACAGGAGCTGCTGCTTTATTTGTCCCCAGCAGGGGACCTAGACACTAAACCTTGTAGAATGAAAGTCATGAAGCAAAATGTGCAGGCACCATTTGAAGTGAGCCCATACTGACATCCTTTTGGCACCAGTTGTTGAATGAAAATGTCAGTGTAATGTGGGGTGGAATTGAACGTAGCTGTGACTGGGGTATGCTTTCATAGTAGGACCTCAATGCCCCCTAACCCCCCAGAGCTGGTGGGGTGTGTGTGAGGGAGGAAAGTTTAGTTGCATGAGCAGACCTTGTTCCATGGCACATGCAACAACTTAGTTGAATTTATGCTTCCGTTTTCAGTGTAAACCACCTGGAGACCTTTTAAGTAACAAGCAACTAATAGGTCTAGTAAGTAAGAATACCTTTGCAGCTGTGCTGGAGTAGAATCAGAGTTGTTGAGGGATAAAAAGGAAAGTGTACTAGTGCACAAAGCTCCCACCCATCCCTGTAGTGAGGGTGCATGTGTATTTTTGTCCTAGCTATAGGATAGTGGCATAACTATAGCTTGGTTTTTTTCCTATAAGACATCATTATTTGCTAGCAAAATGCCTGAACAGAAGCAAAACGGTAAGCAGTTCCTTAGAAAGGTGGCTTCTATACTGAAAAGTAAACACCAAATCATAGTTTATTAGCTGGATTAGTGCAAAGTGACAGAGTTGATCCTTTGCATGTAAAACTGGGTTTTCCTCAGTTATCTTACCTGGTTGTGTCTTGAGGCAGATAATCCTGTTGGTTCTAGTCAGAAGTAGAGTTTAGGGGGGTTGTGATCTGCTCCTTCTGAATATCCAGCAAGAAACAGATTAAAAGACTCAACACAGGTCTGTTCTTTTAACAGTACAGTCTGCTAGTGTTGCATATCTGTGTGGTGCATGCCTTGAGTTCTTTAAATGACTCCTTCCTTTGGCAAGGTCCCATTAAAAACAGACGGAATGACAGACTCTACCTAAAGGGGGAGCAGGGAGAAGTACCTGCCCCAAGGCAAAATTTAATTAGGAATGCTTAACCCTGTTTTGTCATGCTAGATTGTGCTGTGAATCCTTTTATAGAGCCAACTACATTCAATCATCTCCTTTGAATAGGCCGAAGAGTTTCTCCTACAGAATTATTTCTTACTTTTTGTCTTGATTCAGTAATGTGTACATGCTACCAAAGTTATTCTGGGTATCAGTTTGCACCACCTGCCCTGCAACTGGCAGTTTGTATATCTCAGCAGTTACCGTATTTTTCGCCCTATAGGACGCACTTTTTCCCCTCCAAAAATGAAGGGGAAATCTGGGTGCGTCCTATGGGGCGAATGCAGGCTTTCGCTGAAGCTTGGAGAGCGAGAGGGGTCGATGCGCACTGACCCCTCTCGCTCTCCAGGCTTCGGGAACACACCCGCAGCCTGCTTCCCGGAGCGTCGGGCGCCCTGAAAGCAGAGTGCCAGGCGCTTCAGGAACACATCCGCAGCCTAGGCAGCCCTGAGGGAGGTCCCGCAGGGCTGTCTAGGCTGCGGATAGCAGCCTGCTTCCCGGAGCGTCGGGCGCCCTGAAAGCAGAGCGCCCCGCGCGCCGGACAGACATCCGCAGCGTGGGGAGCCCTGTGGGAGTTCCCTGCAGGGCTCCCCACGCTGCGGATAGCAGCCTGCCGCCTGGTGGGCGGGGCGCCCTGAAGCAGAGCGCCCCTCGCGCCGGGCATACATCCGCAGCGTGGGGAGCCCTGCAGCGTGGGGAGCCCTGAAGCAGAGCGCCCTTCGCGCTGGGCAGACATCGGCCAGCCCCACAAGCTCGAGGGACAGCAGGGAGGCGCAGCGCCGCCATCCCGCTGTTCTTCGACCTGGTTCGGTTTCCCCGACCTGCTTTTGGGGGGGAAATAAAGGAAATTCCCCCCCTTTATTCCCCCCCCAAAAAACTAGGTGCGTCCTATGGGACGGAGCGTCCTATGGGACGAAAAATACGGTAGTTTAATGAAAGGACCTTGAGGATAGTGGTGGGCCAAGACTTCAGCTCCATCCTCATAGTGACCTTCCAATAAGTCCTGCTGCTACAGCCTCTGCTGTGTCTACATCTCGCTTTGGCCTGTGTGAGAGGAAAAGATAGCCCCCATTACACTGGACTTTGCACATAGTTTGCCAATGGTAAATTTCACTTGGGTGAAATAAGATTCAGGTGAGATGAATATTTCCACCACTGAAGAACCTCTTTATTTCAGTGTGCTGCATATCTACCGGTAACTGGGCACCTCTCCTGCTTTCTTCAGTTGTAGGAGTTTGGAGGACAATGTAATATTAAGGCTAGAACTTGCAAGGTGCCTGCACCAGTGGGTAGCCTGGCTGCTCATGTCTCCTTCTTTGAATGAGGATGTGGTAGCAGGTTTCTGTCTGTTCAGACACGGCAGTTTTTCAGGTGTACATGTAAGGTGGTAACATGTGAATATGACCCAACACATGTTTGCAAATGTGTGGATTTACTTGAACATTCATCAGATAGCCAGGATTGGTGGTTGCTTATGAAGGGTATATTTGTTTGCATAATATGAAAATTGGCCTGGGCGCCTTTCATTCTCTAATCCAGAGCTGGCCAATGTAGTAGCTTCCTGATGTTGTTTGATTACAGCTCCCTTATCCCTGACTATTAGCCATGCTAGGAGGGGTTGATGAGAGATGGAGATCAACAGCATCTGCAGGGCACCACACTGACTATCCCTTCTCTAATGTGTTCTATTTTATAATTTGGATTTCATTCAGAAGTAGAATTTGAGTGCTAAAATAAAAAGCAACATGGTGGCCAATCCTTGAACAAGACGACAACCGTTTCCCCTCCAGCATCAGTAGTAATGCATTTTCTTAAGAGAAAAAAAATGTAAATTGTAATTGTGGCTGTTTCGCTTTGTGTGCTATTTGCGCTATTTTTGTTTTGAACGTTCTGCAAAGAGTCTAATCTGGCTGCTGAACTGGCACAGTTTCTGATGAGCAAAGCTAGACCTATGGAGGGACTTTTCATAGATAAATGTAATGAGTTAGTGTGGCTCTCCAAACGGTTTTGATTTAACAAAATGAGACTCTTAATAGTCCCAGTGTAGAGAATGTGGCCCTCCTAAACTTTTGTTTTTTGTTTCTGTTGGTAACTCGTGTTTCTCCTCTGGCAGTACTGATTATTGCAAACATACCATTTATTTTAGGAGGGATGTGCATGTGCCCCCCCCAAAGCATTGTGTATGACCCCTGTGAGAATCTTCTCAGCTTCTCTTCTTCTGCATTTCAGCTCACTGCTATGGACAGTGCGATCACCTTGTGGCAGTTCCTTTTACAACTCCTCCAGGAGCCTCGGAACAAGGATATCATCTGCTGGACCTCCAATGACGGAGAGTTCAAGTTGCTGCAGGCGGAAGAGGTGGCCCGCCTCTGGGGGATCCGTAAAAACAAGCCCAGTATGAACTACGACAAACTCAGTCGTGCTCTCAGATATTACTATGTGAAGGTAACTCCAGCATTTAGTTTGTATCAGATGTGGAACCCTCCTTTCCTTCTGCCCCAGCCTAATGAGCTTTTCTGTTTTCCAAGGGTAATGCAATGCTATACAGTGGTACCTCGGGTTAAGTACTTAATTCGTTCTGGAGGTCTGTTCTTAACCTGAAACTGTTCTTAGCACCACTTTAGCTAATGGGGCCTCCTGCTGCTGCCGTGCTGCCGGAGCATGATTTCTGTTCTTATCCTGAAGCAAAGTTCTTAACCTGAAGCACTATTGTGTTAGTGGAGTGTGTAACCTGAAGCGTATGTAACCTGAAGCGTGTGTAACCCGAGGTACCACTGTACAAACTTGGGTATCATGAGAGCTGTTTTCTGTGGCTGAGAGTTTAGATTTTCAGGCCCTGAAGTACTTCTAAAGAGTTATTAAGTGTCTTAGACGTTTAAGTGAGCCTTTCCAAGAAAATCACCTGTCAGGTTGCCAAAAATGAGTACAAATTTCGGGGAAATGAAAGCCCTAAAAACACAAAGTAATTACAACTTGCTATACTCCTGTGATGCCATTTTGTATTTGGCACTGTCCTAAAATATTTTGTTTTAAGTCTGAATTCAAATAGACTTTAATCTCCCCCACCCTTTTACTTCACATATACATGCATTGCCTTTTCCAGAATAGTGGACGACATAGGAAGCTCCCCCACCTCCTGTGCAAGTACATTGCTTCCCCCCCAGAAGGAGCCTATTCAGTGCTACCCAAGTAGAAGGAAGAGGGATATTTTCATATGATCTTATTTTTCAAACTGTCCTTGTGTGGGTGCATGGGATAAGAAAATAAATGTTCCGGAGGCCTGCAGATTAGAACTTAAAGTTGAGATAATATTGGCTTGCTCATTAAACTTACAATTCAGTACTTCAGTAAGTACAGAAGGAAATAAGTGTTGCTGAATACGGCTTAGAGGCATTGAAGTGGCTGCAGTTCATGCTGTTTTGCTGAATGTCAGCTGCTTATTTCCCATCAGCTACATAAAAGTTACATAAATCTTCTCTCATTTGAGTACTTAACCTTGGTGCTGTAACACAGTGCGCCCACAGATGCAAACACAGTGCCCATCTTCAGTATTTGGGCTTGAGCTTCCTTGCCTTTTAAATCAAGGCCATAAAATGTGTAGGTAGTAGACTGAGTCTGGGCCTATTATGTGTGACATAAGTTCAGGGCCATTGTGATTTAATGCACATTGCGGATGGGCTTTTTAGTGTGTGGGTGGCCAGACAGGAGAGAAATGGCAAAACTTTCCATGATCGGTGAATGTTCTGGATTCAGCCAGTGCTGTAGCCTTGTTGAAGCTAACTTTGGGTGTGACCTGATTACTGCAGGGATGAACAGTACCTAGGACTCCCCCCACCCCCTTAAGCCACTCTGAGTTTCTAAATGGAAGGGTGGGATATAAATGTAGGCAGAATCCAGGCTAAGCTAGTTGTACTTCATTTCCATTAAAATCAATGGGGCTTGGTCGTTGCTGATGAAGTGTTAGCAACTTAGCCTGGATCTAACACATAATAACTATGTAACTAAGCTTGTCCTCAAATGTAAGTAATTTTCTTATTGAAGTGGGGCGTCCTTGGGTTGAGGCGCTGAAGCAAGAATTCAAATGAGAGGAGTGCCTGACGCCTTCTTATTGTTTGATGTTTCCACAGAACATCATCAAAAAAGTGAATGGCCAGAAGTTTGTTTACAAGTTTGTGTCTTACCCGGAGATTTTGAATATGGACCCCTTAGCGGTTGGCAGGATTGAGGGTGATGCCGAGTCTCAGGCGGGCTTGATAGATGTTAGCAATGCTGCAAAGGACGTGGAGAACTGTGGGAAGGAGAAGCCTCAGCCCTGTGCAAAGTCCTCCAGCCGCAACGATTACATCCACTCAGGCCTATATTCTTCATTCACTTTGAACTCCCTGAACTCTTCCTCTTGTGTAAAACTCTTTAAGCCAATCAATATGGAGAACCCGACTGAGAAACTGGTGGAGAAAAAGGGTCCTCAGGATCCGACACCGTCGGTCATAAAATTTGTGACCGTGTCCTCCAGAAAGCTTTCGATCTCCCCCCTCGCCTCTACCGCTCAGCCACCCTCTACTCTGTCAGCTGCTTCCACTCTCCCTTCTGGCTCAGATGAGAGTCTCCAGGCTTTGGAGTCCCTGGTAACACCGAAAGCTGAGACGTCCACATCCTTGCCGTGCTTGACCGCCAATTTCGCCCCTACTCCTCCTGCAGCCTCCGTTTCTCCTCCTCTCCAGGTTCCTCCCAGGTCTCCTTTGCCACCTTTAAGTTCTGATCTGGCTATAGACACAGATCCTGAGCCTGTGTCGTGCCAGCAGCTGGAACATTCTCAGAACCAAGTCTTGGAGTTCAAAGAGCAGGGTTCTTCCATGCTAGAAAAGGAGTTTCGTCATAGCCGAACTAGAAAGCCTAAAGGGCTGGAAATTGCTCCCACTCTGGTCATTACTGGCAGTGACCCAAGTCCGCTGGGGATACTAAGCCCTTCTCTCCCTACTGCTTCTCTTACACCAGCACTTTTTTCACAGGTAATCCTGTCTTCTGTTACTTCTAAACCAAATCCTGTATGTGTGCAGGAAGCATGGCAGAGAGATGACCTCTTCAGAAGAGGTGTGCTAACTTTTCTAAAGGTTATGAGTGAGCAGACAGGGATTTTTCTAAGCTAGATGGAAATCGAACCTGTTGCCTGTGATCAGGTACATAGCCAACCAGACCAAGGTGTGTTTAGTGTAATATGCACTGATCTTTACATGATGGAGGTAGAGCATAGAGTCAGTTTAGAATGCCTCACGTTTCTGGAACTTTTTGGCAAGGGTGGCATGAAAATCATTTGAGAGATCCAAACATCCTAAGCTGATTTTTCATGTTTGGATACACGAAAAGCCAATGCAAATGTCATGCTCTTTTTGCTAGCTTAATTTCAAAGAGAGAAATTTCTGTGCTAGCTTAATTTCAAAGAGAGAAATACAGCAAGGTTTAGGTGCATGGTTTGTGTTTTTTTAAAAAAATACTAGCTGTGTGAGTACAGCATGAACAAAGCTTAGATGTCAGAAATTAGTTCAGATCACTGTTAAAAGTGACCATCTTTGCTTGAATCTGTTCTATCTAGCTCATGTTCAATTGTAGATTTGCACACATTCACCAAAAGCTATTAAAACTGAAGTAGTGACTTTCCAAACTTGATCACCTGCTATTTTGGGTGTCTGGTGCCATCAACTGATGCTGAAACAACTGCCTTGGCTTCCTTAGAGCATGGTGCTGATAATGCCAAGGTTTCAAGTTCACTCCCCGTATGCTGCACATTCCTGCATTGCAGGGGGTTGGCATAGATGATCTTCAGGATCCCTTCCAACTCTACAATTCGATGATTCTAAGCCCAGGTGACCTCGGTGGCTTGGAAGTGTTAAATGCTTGCTAGTTATACTGCTGGTAATGGAAGTTCAGGTGTTAAATGGTTTCTTATGTTAAGTTCCTATATTAAACTGGTGTTGTGACATTGTTTTGTATGTCTCACAGACGCCTATTTTGCTGACCCCAAGCCCCTTGCTCTCCAGTATCCATTTCTGGAGCACTCTCAGTCCAGTTGCCCCTCTCAGCCCAGCAAGATTGCAAGGTGCTAACACCCTTTTCCAGGTAAGTTCCAGTGGATGACTTCAGAGGTGGAGCTAGCTGCTCTGGCACTTGGAGTGCCCCACCTGCTGTGTACTCGGGGGCGGGGCAAGCATCCCAGGGGATGGGGGCGGGGGGCGATATCACCCTTCCTTCAGGGATAACAGCAGGGGCGGGCCGCACCCACCGCACCCCCCTTACTCCACCAGTGGATGACTTATGTAAAAGAGCCAACAAGATTTGCAAAAATAGAAATATCTCCTCTTCTTATAGGTTCATTTAGAAGTTCATCTCAATTCAGATGGTTCTCCATTTGAGAAACAAGCCATGGGCTCCTCTGCTCCCTCCTCTTCTGCACAGTTTCACTTTCACTTTGCAGCTTACTGCTGATTTTAGATTCCGTGACAGTGAATCAGAAAACTGTGGTTAACACTTGCACTGCAAACCAGAATTTTTAAAAAGCATGCTTTTCCAATTCTGACTTGGAGGGTGAGTGCTAACAATAGTCCATGTAATCCAGACTTTGTAGTACCCTTAGTTCTGGAAGCCTTCCAGTTTAAGCACAATGGATTGGAAAATGTTCTTTTAATGTGTTCTTTTTAGCTTTGTTCTTTTAATGGAAAATCCTTAATGAAACATGGAACATGAGCACAGTGGAGACCTTGTGTTAATCCCGAAGAGTAAGCATAGTTTTGTCATTGGGATAATCCAATGGTAAGATGAGCAAATAATTGTTCGCTTTGAGTGCCACACCCGATTCCAGGTGAAGGATACCGTTTAATGGTTGAATAGGAACACATTGAGTATGTTATTATGTTGTGTACAGTGGTACCTTGAGTTAAGTACTTAATTCTTTCCGGAGGTCCGTTCTTAACCTGAAACTGTTCTTAACCTGAAGCACCACTTTAGCTAATGGGGCCTCCTGCTGCTGCCAAAGCACAATTTCTGTTCTCATCCTGAAACAAAGTTCTTAATCCGAGGTACTATTTCTGGGTTAGCGGGGTCTGTAACCTGAAGCATATGTAACCTGAAGCATATGTAACCCGAGGTACCACTGTACATAAGAGTAAATTTTTTTGTTTTAACCGCCCTGTGATCTTTGGATGAAGGGTGGTGTACAATTTTTCACTATTATTCAAGCCTTTCAGAAAAATTAAGGTACAGCTTGTATCTTTAATTTGTGTGACACGGTGTGTACATCAAAATGGCGTAAGTAAATTACTCAGTTCTTGTATATGGATGCTGAGATGAGAGAACCAAGGTTGTGATATGCAGGTTCAGGTATGCGTATGAGATATATATATATATATATATATAGAGAGAGAGAGAGAGAGAGAGAATACTCAACGTAATCTACAGCAAACTTTGAAGCTTGAAGTGGCATTTATATATTATGTGCTGGCAGGAGCTAAGAACAGCTGTCCAATGCTGCTTTTTAAAAAGGTTTTCCAGTCGATCTGTTAATTGGCAGAATAAAAAAATAACAATCTCACAAGCATTTTGGAGTAAAAGAATTCAACCCAGGATAGCCTTTTATCTCAGTCATGTACTGTAGTCAAAAGTGGCCCAGTGAAAACGCCCTCTAGTGACAAACTGTTATAGTACCAGGTTAGAAAAACGGAGGCATTTGTCGCCACGTCATCTCTGGTGGCTTTGCTCCCCTGGTTTGTTTCTGTAAGATCATTTTGCAGTGTGAGTAGTGAACTGAAAAGGCAAGTATGAACAGACGAGCTTCTTAGAAATGGTAATGTTAAATTGTTAATTATTCTGCTGAAATGAATAGTCTCAACACACCAGCTATCAGTGGAAAAGATAAATGCTAGTGCACAGAAAACCCTTTTACACTGGTGCAATCTTGGTATCGGTTTCTGTTTTTCAGTTTCCATCGGTGCTGAGTACTCATGGACCATTTACGATGTCCGGAATGGACGGCCCCTCCACTCCTGGGCCTTTCTCCCCAGATTTGCAGAAGACATAGGGTATGGCCTTCTGGAAAAAGGACAGGTGGAAATCAAGATAAAGAGGTTTCATCAAAATGATGAAATCTGTTTTCAATATGGGGTTTGCAATTCCACAGAGACAATATGAAGAGGCTTAGGGTTTTTTTTTTGCTATTCCCGGTTTAAATGCCTTTTCAAAAATTTCTTTCAAGACATAAGGGAATTTTTATGGAAACGCCTTAATTGGAGACTGTTCTCCAAGATCACTTTTCTCACCTGGTTCTTCTGATTTAAGAAGGCTTCTCTTGGTAAAGCGATTTTTCTTGAGGGGGGTGGAATGCAATGATTGATTCTGCAGCAGCTGATACCAGTCACAACTTTCCTTTTTGACTGGTAACCTTTTGCCCCTTTGCTTCTTGTATAACCTATCAAAATATTAATCTCCATTGGAAGCTGGCATTCCAAGAAATACTTGGAAAATGTTTTTGTTTTTTTTAAGGCTTGCTTTAGGGTTGATAATTTCTCTATTAGTAATGCAGGAATGCTGTACGAAAATATATTATCTCTTTGTAAGAGGAAACTTTTCAGGAGCATTTTATGGTGATATAGAAGAACTGGGCAAAATTTTAAGGGTGTTGCCTGTAAATAGAGAAGATCTAGTTGTGTATCCTTTAGCCAAAATTGTTGATTCATCTCCAGAGAAATGCATAGCACATGGAATGAATGAATTGTTTTGGTCTTTAGAAATATTTGGATGTTTTACGTCTGATATTGCTTGGTAGGTTTAAAAAACAAAACCCTGGTATTTAAAGAAGCACACCATTTTAACTGCAGATCCTGGCAACTGATGTTTTGTGGCATTGGGGTAACCATATATCTGATATGCTGTGTGTGGTGTTGTCTTGATGCTTGATAAGGTCGTATGTAGATCTGACATTTGAGCAGTGAATGTTTGCTTGTATTCTATTATTTTATTCTCCCCTGTCCCCTTTCAACAAATAAGGTATCCAAAGAACAGTCAGTGCTGCTCTTGGCTCCTGATACCTCTGGGTGATCCACTTTTCTTTTTGGCCACACTCTCACTCGGATTTAAAGTTTGAGCATGTTGATGCTCCTAAAAGTAGAAATAATGTGTGGCTATTTGAAAGTGTTCCTGTTGATGAGGAGGGTGTGAGTGGGAAAGGGCAAGGTGGTGTGGGCTGCTTTATAGCCTGAAAGAGCTAAAAGCTGCTTTCAGACTGCACTTAATCTTGCGGCAAGGGAGTGGTTAAACCATACTTGAACTGCTCTTGGATGTCTCCACTATGAGGATAGTTTAGAGGTAATTTGGTGGTCATGTTATGCTGGCTTCCTGATGTGGCGGTCTGGCTTATATGACTGGAAATTGAAAGTATGATGGGAACCTGGACAGATGTTTACAGCATTAGTTGTTATCTCTCCATAGAAAGAGATGCATTGAGAGGCATAGTATTTCTGCATAAGTGCTACCCTTATCTTCTAGATTTGGGCCAAAGTCCCGAAAGTACCACAAGACCTGTAGCGTCACATAGCTATTTGATGGAAAGGTAAGATAAATACCAGGAATGGTGTTCGGCAGGGTTTTGCTTTTTTTTTTTTTAATTGGGAAGTGTTGACCAGCTACTTATTAAGGACTAAATGCAACTTCAAAATATGTACCTATGTATGAGAGTCCCCTAGGGCTGAGTACCATGCTAAAGCAGAAGACATTAGCTGGTGTCGTCCCCCCCCACACCCACTGAAATAGATATACTAAATTTCTCCTTCTCCCATAGAGTTTGTGATGCACCATTCACAAGAACAGTCAGAAGTTAATATCTTGGACTACCCTTCCAAAACCACTTCTGGTAAGAGGAAAGGAATGGTGTAATATAGATTAGAACCCAAAGAGACAGCAGAAGGTGTGTTCTTGTCTGTTACTGAAGGTGCATTGCTGTCATTCATTTTCCAGACGTGATCAGCTAAGTCATTTGAAAGGTCCATGTCTGTTGTGCCTAAATTGAATGTGCAATATTTCCATATATTTTGTTTAATGCAGACATGCAGAAAAATAGCTGCAAGTAGTAAGTGAGAGGAGGCAACCTGCACCCCCGAGTTTGCACAGGGGGTTTGTATTCTGCCTCATGGGCTAAAGTAATGACAGCACTTTTTAATAGCAGCCAATCTAGGCTGGCTGCTTTTGGCATATGTATTGGGGGTAGGAGAGAAGTCAGAGCGAGGTTTTGTTTTGCTTTACATTTCTTCTTGAGTGCTAAAGGAATGCAATCAAACTATTTGTTCTTTTGTCTTCTTTCTCCCATCACCAAAGGAAACAGGCAGGGTATCTTTCGTCAGATATTTCTTGTGTCGTATATGGTGCACCTGTGCTGCATGTATATTTAAAAACATGTAAGTGAACCAAAGTTGGGCCATCTTGGTAGCAGTTTTGTTTATCCAGGTTTCACAATCTAGCCCCACCAGTCTCAAAAAGATGCACTGTTGTAAGCTGGCTTGTTATACTGGGCTGAGGTATACATACACCTATTGCTCTTCTGTTTCGAGTGATTTGATAGAGCTCCGTGGCTTCATTTTGTGGAGGCTTTGCTTTTCTATTTGGTCTTGACCAGCTCTCTGCTTCATCCTTGACTTGGTAGGTTGTTGGAGGGCTTACAGCGAACAACTGTCTCGTGCTTTTAGCCACTATGCTACAGCACCCTCCCTCCACCCCAGTGCCACCTTTGAAGGGTGGAATTGGTGCAGCTCTATTCTGTCAGTGATCCAAGTGCTAGTAGAATTGGGATTTCATGCTGCAAGGTTTCAAAAGAGATAACCAGCTAATATAGATATTTTGTATTTGTGTTTCAGCCAGTTCCAAGGTTGGACAGGTCTTTTTACTTTCATGCATGTTCTCTTTTAGTTTTGTTTTTTGATGTGTTGAAAACATTTTAATTTTCACAAGAAGTTTTTCTTATGCTTTCAACTGTGTGCAAACTTAAGTTAGGGTCTGATCTAACTTTAAATGCTGGATGTTCTATTTGTGTGTGTGTGTGTGTGTGTGTGTGTGTGTGTGTGTATATGCGGAAAGGAAAATAACCAGGTGTGTCACCGAGTTAAGGGAGTTAACTGTTTCTTATTTGGGAGTTATTTGGGAGAGAAGAGCAATTCTGATTTGTATTCTGCATACTATGTTGGCATGAATTGGTGTCCGATTGCTCTTTACCTCATTTGCTCAGTTTTGGCAGTCTTTGGGGTAGCCTAAATCATTCATTGTATCTGCTAGAGTTATATTGTTGCCAACTGTTTTATTGCCTTTTGAAGTATCTAATTGCATGTAAGCACTTGTTCACACAGCACATCTTTGTATTGTAGCAAGAGGGCTGCTGTTTGTTTTTAAAACAGAAAGAGTGATTAAGGGCTGCCCAAGAAACTAAATGTTGTTTTTCAAGTTCTAAGTAAGCAGAAAGGACTTCCTTCTTTTACCTTGTGTCAGTTTCCCCAAGCACGTGTATTGGATTTCAGCCGCCATTCACAGTCATCCCACCAAGTTTTACAGCAGTTGAAGCTGAAACAGATTGTGAGAGGGCGCAATGAACCCATTATTATCTTTGATTCTATGTTGAGATTCCTGCATTGCACGGGGTTGGACTAGAGGGCCCTAAATTCTGTGATTCTAAGAAATGCCAGAGAACTTTAAATTCTCCATGGCTGTTAACGGGAACATAAATAGTATCAGTAAGCCACAAGGGAATGACCTAATCTAGTGCCGCTGAACACAACAGCTCCTAATCTTGCCAATGTGTGCAGCCTTTTTTTCTTGTGGAGAAAGCATTAGGCTGATGTCTGTGGCCCTGGAGAAAAGTGTGATGTGGTCCTTAAAGGGCTCAAGGGTAGAGGAGAGTATTTAATACAGTCATTTGCAAAGTGAAACTGAAGTACAATTAATGGGTTGTGGTATGATTTGGAAACACATCTTCTCCCCCCCCCCCCAGGGGCTGTAGTGGTTAGACCTATCTTAAAAGATGGATGGATAATATTTGATTACCTTGTATTGTGCTTTGCTTTATTTTGCTTTTCACATGTTGTGTATCATATTTGTTAGTTGCTTGGAGATGCTTGGGTAAAGTTGCTAATAATCTTAAACAGTGCTAATTCCCATCTTGCTAAACCATAGCTTAGTGGGTGGAATTGAGCAGCGTGACTATTTCACTGCTTGCTTCTTGGTTTAATAAAGCGACGTTTAGCTGTTGCATCCCAAATGGGGAACTGAATGTTCACCCCGATCTTAAACCATCTTCAAACTCTAGTTTAATATCCTGGCTAGTAAATCAAGATTAAACCACAATTCCCCATTTTTGACATAACAGCTTGCTGTGGCTGGAGCACACAGTTTTGTCATTTGTTCCCAGCTACTGAACAGTGGTTTAAGCAAGCTGCGAACTCAGCATCCAAAATGGGCCAGTACCTGCTTTGATATATATTAATGCTTTTTCCCCTTTAATTCAGGGGATAAAATAGGATTTATGATCAGGGCTGGCTAACCATTTTGGTCTCAGAGCTTCTCGCAGAAGATCAGTGAGTAGCCAAAATCCTGCTGAATCCTGCTAAAAGGTCTATATAATCCAATGTCTTATCTCCCCCTGCATAGCTAAATGGGTGCTACAGAAAGTCCCAAAGCAGGAACTTAGTGTTGCTTCTAACAACTGATATTTGGTGACAGCTTTTCCCTGAAAGGAGAAGACCCTCCCTCTTGTTTTATGAATTGATCCTATCCCCGCTTTAAAGCCATCGGCCATCAGAACATCTTGTCACCGTGAGCTCCGTAACGTAAGTGGAGCACTGTATTAATAACTGGAAGCTTTTCTTTTCCCATGTGGGAGTCTTTAGAAAGTCTCTCTTTGGGAAGCTTTGTGTGATCAGAGGAGCAAGTAGTGAGTTGAATGCACAGGTTTTCTAGCTGGTCCTTCTTGAGTGGTGAGATTTCTTTGGGGAAATGTTTTGAAACTGTGGCTTGGCGTTGACTTTTGGTCTTGCTCTTCAGTTGCACCACTTTTAAATGCTCCATACTAGAAGTTTTTTGTTTGTTTTTTAACTACTCTTTCAAACTTGTATAGAAAAGTCTTGTTCTAAAGTATTTTTAAAATAGTGTTTGTATTTTTTATAGCAGTGTTACCAGATGGCCTTATGTACGTCACAGTGTGGGTACAGTAGCATAATTCATGCATTTCCCCCCCTCTATATTTGTATTCGTAAATAGTATGCTCATGTGTATCTAAGAATACGCAAAAGGTAGAGGCTTGGAAGCTAATGAGAGAAGCTAGAACATAGTGCTCTAGCATGAAATACTTGGCAAATGAAAAAAGCCAGAATTAATATTGTGAAGGAGCCGATGACTTTACATAAATTCCAGGACTCCAGAACGCTTCAGTGTTCTGTCTTTCTGTCACGACACTATCTAGTCTGTAATCAGACCCCTGTGTGGCAATATAGACAAGCTGAACAATATAACACAACACGATGGCCAATAACAATGGCACTAAACACTATTTACAGACCAATACAAATGATCAGAAATTACAACCAAAGTCTCTAAATCTTCCTCACCAGTCACGGTGGAATAATTCAAAAGTTTGATATCCGGATAACCAATCTGTTTTGTTCAATGCTTCATCAGCCAGACTTGTAAGAATTAATATGAGAAGGATGCAGTTCAATTTCTTAACAAGCCAATCTTACATGTAAGCAAATATAAACGCTGTAGAAAATATGCTCTGGATCCGTGCTCATATGGTACTGTCTCGGCTGATGAAGCATTGAATGAAACAGATTGGTTATCCGGAAACTCTGTTCCGGTGATATTTGGTGACAGGTTATGTATACAGTGGTACCTCGGGTTAAGTACTTAATTCGTTCCGGAGGTCCGTTCTTAACCTGAAACTGTTCTTAACCTGAAGCACCACATTTAGCTAATGGGGCCTCCAGCTGCCGCCGCGCCGCCGGAGCACAATTCTGTTCCCATCCTGAAGCAAAGTTCTTAACCTGAGGTACTATTTCTGGGTTAGTGGAGCCTGTAACCTGAAGTGTATGTAACCCGAGGTACCACTGTGTATTGAACTTTTGAATTATTCTACTGCGACTGGTGAAGAAGATTTAGAGACTTTGGTTGTAATTTTTGATTATTTGTATTAGTCTATAAATAGTATTTAGTGCCATTGTTATTGGCCGTTGTGTTGTATTATATTGTTCAGCAGGACACTATCTAGTGCATTGGTTTTCAGTTGGTGGGTTGAGAGTCATTACCATGATGGGAGACTTGATCTGAAGCTGGCTGCAGCAGCAGCTCTACCACCATACAAATATATGGTAAAAATTAAGGACGGTATCCATCGACTTAGTTCTGTTAGTGCCATGGAGCTTCCTCTCCCTTACCTCTCAGAGGACTTAGGGAACCCCCAAACAGATTTAGGGGGCATCAGAGGAGAAGCAAGAGAAGTTCTGTTGCACAACTGGAAGTCCTTGCACAAACAATTACTTCATTGGATGCCACCCAAGGGGATGGGTTTCCAAATGCATGTTTGAGGTAATGCTATGTCTGAAAAGGCTTGAGGACTCCTGGTCCTAGTGCATTTATAAGCACCATTTTGTGGCAGGAGGAGCAAGTTTGGAGGCTCCTGATGAGTTTCAAGTGGTGGCTCTGAGACATTACTTTTCAGATCTGAGCCTTCCATCTCTTTTTGTTTGGGTCACACCTGTTTTAAGATGGCAGAGCATGTTCCTGCAATTGCCATTTTACTTATAAGTTCATGCACTGTTGATTTCTCTTCACCCGGCCCGCTTTCTAAATGACTGCTGTTCCTAGAGCAAAATCTCTGCTTTTGCTCAGTTCTGGCATCAAAAGTAGAACTGTCTTGAGTCTTCAACTTAAGGGCTCCAATTGGTTATCCTCCAAGCAGACCAATGCAGGGAAGAGCACTGGCAGTGGATTACGCTAGGTCCTCAGGTTATTGTTACTTACAAGTAGTAACAGAGCAGGTTTACAGAAGGGAAAGGGCTTTCTTATTTTAGCTCCCTTTGGGAATAAAGCCCCTGTTCTTCTCCCAGGCAAGTACTCATTCCAGTACAGAGGACCTTGGGTTGCGTGCATGTTCTGCAATATGCATGCAGTCTCAAACCTGGAAGGGATTGTGTTGGTGCATCTTAGAATGGATGCACTATACAAGCCTGTGTGCGGAAGGCTTGGCTGGCTAAACAGGATTTATTTGGAAAATAAGTGAAATTTAGCTGGGGGAGTGTAGGTTGTTGATGTTTTGTTCCCATTTTTTAAAAAAAACTGAAAATCTGTACCATTTGATATATATCCAGTATGTTAATGCCATTCTGTAAAATATTGCTGATATGTAATGCAATTGCATAATAGCCAAAGTTCTAAGTATGTTCTCAGTGTTATTGTTTTGACTATATAAGCACCTCTGGTTAAGATAGGAGGGAGGCCTTCAAAATGTTAACAGGTTATTTAGAAAAGGAAGAAAAATCTGCCTCTTAAGAAACAATTTTATTACAGGAGTATAATTCTCGGTCAAAAGCTAGTCTTAAAAGTCTTCAAGAAACTGTAAAGTGATGCCATTTTTGTGGATTGGTTTGCTATTAAAAGTCGGTATATATTGGCTGTTGCACATCCAAACATAATGAAGGTCTTTGCTGCAAAATCAGGTGACTATTTTCTATTGCTTAGACTTTTGTGCAAAAAAGGTTTAGGGTAATCTTTTTTTAAAAAAAGAAAAGTTTGGAGGAAGCATTGCTTATTTTGTTTAAGAACTGACAGAGGGATATGTTTTGTATAATGATGCAAGATGGCTTTAAACAGTGTAGCAAATCATGTTAATATGTGCAACCAGACTTGCAAAATAATTGTATTTTTTTAAATAAATATTTTTTAACAAATGTCATTATTTGGAGTGTTACTCTTCTGCAGTGGAAAGAAGTTGTCACTGCAGTTCAGTTATAATAGCCATTTCACTCTGGATTCTTGAAATAGAGGTAGTAGCAGTGTAATCACCAAGCATTGTCTGAACCGTGTAATATATAAATGTAGATGTGCCTCTTCTCTATCAGTAGTGATGGTACCATTCTCGGAGATCTGAATGTATTCAAATGATGCCTATTCATTGCTAAGTACTGTTCTAGGGTTCTCAGCCACAGCTGTAGCACTGTAAGCAAAAATAGATTGGTGGCATCGTGGTACAATTTGAGAAACCTGCTTTGGAAGAAACAGACTGAACCTCCTACTTTCTTTTTGCTTTCTGGCATTTGAAATATCTGCAACTATTAACCCATTTGTGGTTTGAAGAACATGAATAGCAAGGAAATCAGACTGGCGAAGCAGATTTAAGAGACCGAGGCTGTTTACAAACCATACATTTAAAACACCTTCTGCCCTGAATAATAATGGAAACTGTAGTTTAACAGTGCTGGGAAGTATAGCTTTGAGGGGTAAACCACAGGATTTTGGGGTGCTTTAAAGGGATGATGTGTATACAGCCGTTCATTGCTAGTTTACAACAGTTTTCTGCTTGAATTAAATTACCCCCAAAGAAGATTCCTTTTTCTTAGAGCCCAATACCTTAGGGCTTTAACTCATTCAGACTTTCTGCATTCATGTCTCTTGCCTTGCACCCGTGGTGCATCTGAAACAGTTCAAGAGAATTTATCAAGGTTCCAGTTTTCTAACTGATATTTCCTGAGCAGGCACATGTGTTGTTTTTGTAGTTATTTTTAGCTATTACAGAAGCTATACCTATTTAGTAGAATAATTGTAAAATTATGCTTGTTTTTCTCTCTACACTTGAAAGGGACACGAAAGAATTAACTTTCTATAAAGGCTGCTAGCTACTGGGATGAACAGTGATGCTGCAGTACATGTAAAGTGTCTATGCTTGTTAAATAAGTAACGAAGTAGGTATGGATTAATTGCATGTCAGGTGTAACCTCAAAATAAGCCAAATCAGGAATGCAACTTTTACTCCTGCTGTTAACACAGTGGTTGCTATCAGATGCAACAGCAAACATGGTTTGCCATAAACAAGCAGGTGTAATTTTTGCTCAAGCATGTTCTTCATGTGCACAGTGGAATGAAATTAAAAGTCCTCACTGCTGGTTTATGGCAAAGGATATTTTGTTGTTTCACCCACACCTGGTAAACCATGGCTTGCTGTAAACCAGCATGATAACTCAATATTCTTGCAATGCTAACATTCTGTTAAAGACAAATTATATTGTTGCTTAGGTTCACATGAGAAATACACTATTTTGCTTAATCGAATTAAGGTCTACCTGGTTCTGCTGCCTTGTCCAATAATCCTAGGGAGCAGTTGCTGTAGGTCCAACACACTGGAAAAGGCTGTGGTCCAACACACATATATATAAACTTAGAGCACAAGATGACACAAGCT